TGCCATTCCCAGAGGCATTGTTCCTTGCTCCACCATCTTCTCGTACCATTCCGTCGCAGGTGTTGGAGGCATTCTCAATTAGTACCTAAATCGATTTGCAAATCGATTTGTGAATCGATTCGGTTGAATGGTGTGTCAGGTAGGAGAGAGATGTGAAAGAAGATTAATTCAATTGATGAATCAATTGATGAATTGATTCAGTGGAGTGGTGGTGGTGTGGTGTGGTGTGGTGGAGATTGGTGGAGTGGAGGCCACGGTGGATTGTTGTAGTGGATGAAAGGAAAGAGGAATTAATTCAAGCTGAGATGCTTCTTATATGGTACACTGACCTCAAAGTGGGGTACACCCCACTTCGAAAAAAACCTTAAAATACGCTAGCACCTGAACTCAATTCAATGGTACACCGACCCGTGAACAGATATATCATATATTCCTCGATGCTTGGACGTGACATTCGCTTTTCAATCTGCTACCAAGGCATCTACACCTAGGAGGTAGGCTGCTTGCTATTGCAACAACTTCCATCTCACATCATTTACAAAGCCCCAACACTCGCCTCGTCCATCCAGTGCGAGCCGCCTGCACAGCGATAGCCACCACCTTGCTTAATCCAGTGATATCCAACCGGACAGCATCCCATTTTCAGCAACTTCGCCTGCACTGAAGCTTCCTTGCGCTTCCTCTCCTCTGCCTCCTTCCTTACCCGCTCGAGCTCTTCAAGTTCTCTCTGACGCTTCTCATCAGCGCAAGCCTTGAGCCAAGCTCGGAGTTTACGCTCTTCCTCGACGAGACGTTGGAATTCGGCCTCTTCTTGTTCAGCTTTCATCCGATCAGCTTGTAACTGCTCCCAGATTGCATCGGTCACGCCAGAGTCGCGCTGGACAAGAAGGACTTCTGTCGTTGGTGGGGTGCGCTCGGAACGGTTCTCGCCACAACAGGTATTGGACTCCTCCTCGCCGGATGGCGTTTGTTGCAGGTCATCCTCAGTCTTCGAGGTCTCCTCTTCGACTGCGTGAGTCTGTTGCTTCGTTGCGGATCGAGTTTGCATGTGGAATTTATTTTGAGTAGTTGGCTGCTGTTTGTTGTCGGGCCTCGTGGGAGCAAACAGGTCTTGCTTACTAGAAGAAGCGCTGGCACCGGGTGCGGTAGCATCGTGTTCGCGGCGGGCTCGCTCAGAAATCATGTTCCTCAGCTCTGTCAGTAGAAGCTGACACGAGACTATCATGCCACCAGATCTCTTTGGACCGACATGCTTGATGATCGTTCCAAAGATCGTCTTGCCAAGAGTTTGGACATCACGAGCATTCGCAAAGTTTTGCAGAGACGCTAGAATGTTGAAATGCTGCAAAACCTCGCTCGTGGTCGTAGGGGGCATAGTTGTGATCGGGGACAGATCAAGACCCTTTTTCTTGCCCAGGTACTGGCACGTTCGTCAGCATAGGAAAACTCCTGGCGGACATTGCAATATAGGCTGAGCTGCTGGCAAACTTACTTGAATGAGTAGATCGAGACATGCCTGTGGCGGGAGAGGCTCAAACACAATGGTCTCGGGAAAGCGTGAAGTCAGGCCGGGGTTCACAGACATCAGTCGATTGATGTCTGCGTCGTAACCTGCCAGAATGACAATTTGCTTTCGAAAGAAGCGCTCGTTGGTGAGGCTATCGACGAGCTCATCAATGGCTTCTTGTGCAAAGTGACCTCCAGACAGTCGGTACGCCTCGTCGATGAAGAGGACCTTGCCAAGAGCGGATTCCAGGAGTTTTCGCGTTTTTGGTCCAGTATGACCAATGTACTCGCCCACAAGATCTGAGGCCGAGCAGCTCACTACTTCTGCTTTGGAGAGGAAGCCCATATCGTAGTACACTTTTCCCATCTTCTGAGCGGTCGTGGTCTTGCCAGTGCCTGGTGGACCCCTGAAAAGGAAAGTGAACGGAATCTGCTCGCGAGGATCCTGCGAAGTGTCAGCGCATATGGGATTATAGCAAAAGTTCTGGACGTACCATATCAAGTTGTCTCATATTTGCCACGATATTTTGGTAGCCCTGCAGCTGAGCGACGATGCTGTCACAGCCCACACTATCCTTGAATAGCATGGCGACGTTTGTGTTAGCTCGATCCCCTCTATCAAAATCCGGGTCGAAGTCCTGTGCTTCGAGGATGCCTTTTGCTGCGGTCTTATCATCGCCAGTACGTTTCTGCTGGCGCATTTTCGCATCGTTCAGCGCGATATCCACCTCACCTGCGTTGCCAAAGTGAGGGCGATTGCGTGCGCGTTGGAGCATACCCAGCGCCACGGATTTGGCACGCTCCGTCACACGGAAGCCTTGATCTTGGAGTTTCATGTCCAGGATCGCCTCCATGTCTTGGTCGTCAAAGTCTTCAAAGACAAACCCGGAGTCGATAGGGAAGCGCCGCGCCAATCCAGGGTTGACGTTCTGCATCATCTCTTCCATTTGTTCCTCGTAGCCAAGCAACAAAACACATCTGTCGTCCCCTGGCACGCTCTGAATCTCTGCGACGATGGTATCAATAACAGCTGTCCGGTATGGATCAGAGCTGCTGCCCTGGCCGCCCTGACCTCCGTACAATCCATATGCTTCGTCGATGACTAACACCTTGCCGACGGCAGCATCGAGGATGCCCTTCGTGTTCGCTTCTGAGGCACCAATCACATTGCCGATGAAGTCCGCGGGCTTCTTCAGAACACATTCTCCACTCGACAGCATGCCAATATCAGCCAAAATCTGGCCGTACAGCTTGGCTACTGTCGTTTTCCCGGTCCCTGGATTTCCCACGAAGACCTTGTTCAGGCTATACTCCACGAGTGGCTCTTCGGCCAATTCTCGCTGGAAGTTGAGCTGAAGACTATAGAGAAGCGCCTTCACAGACTCTTTCACGCTTTGCAAGCCGGTCAGTTTCTGCAGTTTCAGCCAGGACTTATTGCCAGCAAGTGCATCGTGGGTCGGTTCTGCTCCGAGGAGATCGGTGTCTGTGAACAGCATATCGTCAGGGTCTCCTTGGCCTGGCGTACGTCTCTTCACTTTGCGCGCATTGCGCACACGTTTTGCTTGCCGAGAGGCGATCTTCGACACTACGTTCTCGACCTCACGAGCATTGCCGAAGCCTTCTTTCCCACGACCACGTCCGATGCGACGTGCCACAATTCGGGCAAAGAGACCGCCTGGGCCCTCCTGGAGTTGCATTCGTCCTTCGTATCGCTTCTCAATGTTGTAGTTCATGATGGCTAACAGCTCGTCGTCTTCGTAGTCAGCGAACTGCATGCGCCGAGGAAATCGACTCGGTAGACCTGGGTTATGCTGGAAAAACTTCTCCATCTGCGTGTTGTATCCCGCAAGGATAAACACCACTTTCCCAGTGAGGTTTTCAACTTCTGGTAGCAAGTAGTCCAACACAGCGCCTCCTCCGAAGTTGGAACCAGAAGCGAGCTGATAGGCTTCATCGATGAAGAAAGCGCCGCCTCCCCGGTTCAAGAGATCATCGAGTAGCTTCTTGCAGCCTTGTACGCCCCCAGTTGCAAGCTTCGCACCTGTTGTCTCGATGAAGACCTTCCCAGGTAAAGCGCCTACGGAACATAGGAAATTAGCGTAGATGCGGGCTATGGTAGTCTTCCCAGTACCAGGATTACCCAGGAGAGCGGCACCGAAACGTTCCTTGGCGACAGATAAGTCTTGTCGGACGAGCATGTCGATCTTCGACTTGATCTCTAGGAACTGCTCCTTGACAGCTTCAAGGCCGATCATGTTCATGATCTCGTCAATCGCGTCGTTCTTTGCACCCTCGACGGCCTTTTGTTGCTCCCAATCGGTTTGAGCTTCGGAGCCAGACGGCTGGTGAGCATCACGACTGGATAAAGGGGGCGCCTTCGCCGGCGAACGACTGCGCTCTTCCGCGTCCCTCTCTCTCGCTTCGCGTTGCGCAGCGAGAGCTTTGGCGTTGTCGAGATCCGTACGACGCTGTGAAAGCTCCGTCTCTTGCTGTTCTTGGGTGCGCTTATCTGCTGCCTTCTGATGAATGCGATCGAGCTCAGCCTGGATGTCCGCTAGCTGCAGAGCATAGGCAATCTGTCTTGCCTGTCGCTCCTGGTCAAGCTTTGTATCTCGTTCCTGCTGTGCAAGTCTCGCTGCAGTCTCGCTGTCGCAAGCGTAACATGATGCGGGACGACCTTCCGAGCATCTCCAAGACAAGCGATGGCCTTGTGGGCACTTCTCCCGGATGCGGAATGAGCATGGCATCTTGGAGTGATCTGCCATTCGATGACACTTCTGCTGACAATCGTGCATCCCGCAGCTTAGTTTCACACCGCAAGGCGCTGAGCAACCTCCATCAGGGCACTTAAGGTCGAAGTCTTCAGGAGTAGCCAGTATCATCTCGCGCTCTGGGTGCTGAGCACATCTAACTGGTAGACCGTCGAGGATAGAGTTCTTCCGGGCAAGTAATGTGAAGAACGAGGACCACAGTTCTCCGCCTTTCTTGCTGGCAACGAACGTAGCAGGGTTCCCGATCACAATGAGAGCCTTGCGAGCCCGTGACAGGAGTACGTTAAGTCGTTCAGGAGACACCAGGAAACCAATATCACCATCGGGATTGCTTCGAGTCAGCGAGACAACACAAATGTCTTTTTCCTCTCCTTGATAATTATCAATAGTAGAGAGCCTTAATGGTTTCTTGGTCTGCGAAGCGCTCGCTGGTGACAAGAATCCCGCTCGGATCAGGTCGAAAGAGTCCATGTCATTCAATACCGGGTCATTTTCCTTGGCGAGCTCCTGACGTAGGAGACTGAGCTGGCCGAGATATGGCGTCAAGACAACCTGATCTGAAGTTCCATAGCCTTGTTGCGCCAAATACTTTACGATCTTCTTGACCATTTTGACCTCGTACGCGTTCTGCTTGCTGACACTAGCCCCCTGATCTCTTCTGTCTGCTACTTGACTTATGAGCTCAAGTTTGGTGTGCTTGATAAATACGACCCGACTCTGTAGCCCTCGCAGTGCTTCCCGTTGCATCGTCGAGGGTGCATCCAGAAGACTTGGGTATGTGAGCTGACGCACCAGATCCGAGATCTCTGGGCACATTCGGTGCTGTTGTTGTAAGGTGGCGCGAGGGAACCCAGCCAGTACAAGACGTTCGAACAAAGAGCGGTTGAGGTCATACCCATCGCCTTTCTCGACAGTCAAGGCATGATTGTTGACCTTCGGACGAAGCTGTTTGTGATCCCCAATCAGTATCAATTGTTTCGTGTTTGGCGTCATTGCGGTCAGAACGTGGCTCTCCATAATCTCGCCGGCTTCTTCGACCAAGACGATAGCTGGTGCAGCGCTCTGAAGCTGCCTGGCGTACATTGCGGATGCCGTAGTGGTGCAAGCTACAATACGCTTACTCTGGATGAGCTCCGTATCTCGTTGGTGAAGTGCTTCTTGCAAAGTATGCTGACTGGCATCGAAGACTTGCGCTCGAGCAATAATTTCATCGGCTGCCTCGGCGAGCATCGCGTCTTCCCACTGTCGCAGCTTCGACTGCCTGTCGGCTTCGTCCATGTTCCAGATTTCGACATGTCGGGGCGAAATGGGTTTCTGGAGAACGCCCGCATCCTTACCTTGTATCCATCTGGACAGCAGGTACCCTTCGTCGATAACTGACCCATTCTCGCCTACTGTGGCGAACCCATCCAATGACTCGGATACCTCAAAAGCTTCGAAGTACTCGTGATCGTCCTCCGAGAACTCCAAGTATTCAAGCAGCTGTGATTTGGTTGCCTGGGTTTTCCTGAAGTCTTTCACTGTCTGTAGAAGTGCGTCCGCATGAGTCGTAGTCTCCTCCCCAAGTCGGTTAATCGCCCCCCAATTCTCCTGTGTTCGAGACCTCGCCGGTGCTTGTTCCCGTAGACTGAGAGGTTGGGTACGAGCAGTAGACTTGGAACCAAGTCGAACCATGCTAGAAGATGGCACCCCGATGTCCATCAGCTCTTCAAGAAACTGATCCAGAGCATGATTTGTATAGCAGACCACCAGTAAGTTCTCTGAGCTATTATCATGAAGAGCTTTCGCAAGCAAAGCGCCAATGAACGATTTCCCCGTGCCTGGTGGACCCTGAATCAAAGATACAGCTTGACGCATACCAGCCAGTAAAGACGTAGTCTGCGAATCGTCCAGCTCCACAGGTTTCCGAAGTCCGAGGATGGGTTGTATGTCGTGCCCGCGTTCCAATTCGATTTTCCGAGCGATATCTGAAAGGTTATCTGACAGGTCGGGAAGCTCGAGGTCATCGATTGCGTCTTCGGGACACAGGAGATATTTCCAGAGTGGAAACTCGAGCTTGTCCTGTAGACAATGCAGAACTGGCTCGTATGCGAATACCGCTGTATCGATGACGACGAATTCAAGGGTTTGTGAGGTGCGCAGTGACAACAGCAGCTTCTTCAATGCCCCAGCTCCTGGAGTGCGAATGGCTATGACAGGCGGCTTGAGGCACAGCAGATCCACGTCCCGAGCAATAGTGCCGAATGCGATCACAGTGCCTTGATCAACGAAGTACCCGCACGATTGGTGCTTTATGAAATTGTTGTTGTCCTTCAAGAACGAGCGCGCATTCGAGGCATTGGCCAACGCCCCTAACCCCTTGCCCACAGAAATTTTCAGGGCGGTTGGCACTCTAGACTTGTCTGCGCCAGTGCGTATGCCATAAAGTTCAAGTCCGGAAAGCCGCATTCGCTGTCGGCGATTCGACTTTTTGGACGAAGACGTTGCCAGATCTTCTCGTAATTCGGCTAAGAAATCCTCTCGAAGCAGGCGAAACTGGTTGCTCAGATGATGAGCGACACGCTCTGGTATTGGTATCTTCGAAAGCATGTGAGCTGGTGTAAAGTACGGTAATTCTTTGCTGGCAAGCTCGTCCTCGGTGGGGAAGATGGCTACCTGACGGAAGTCAACGAAATCATTATCATGTCGACCGCCAGGCCCAGAAACAGTGGGTTTGCGACCAGCGCCTTTCGCAGACAGTATGTGTTCGATTCGACAGCCCATCGCGCGCAACTGTTGGTCTTGTGAGGTCAAGAAGGTCTTCTGCTCAGTGATGATGCGCGCAACGCCGTCCACATCGGAAGGGGAATCTGCGGTCCAGTTCAGAAGCTCCAAGAGCACGAAAGCAAAGCTAAGGGTTGTCTGCGGCGACAGCTCATTGTTCTGATGAGCCAGAGTCAATGCGTTCCACAGACTTGGTGGCGAGACCAGTGCCTTGAGCACACGCTTCAGGAATTCGCCATTGCACAGCCGCTTGACCTCTGGAACAGCAAGGTAGAGCAGCAGATTCTGTAGCGTGCCGTTGATGAATGACACAGACTCATCGAATCGCACTCCTCGGTGTAATGCAGTCAGTCCTGAGGTACTGCAGCCTAGCTTTTCGATACAATCAGCATGATTTGCTTGAGCGCAAATAGCTTCCACAAACTGCTGACAGTCGCGAGCGCTTTGAAGGGGCCGTAGACCCGTGATGAAGGCATGTAGGAGTCGAGAAAGTCTGTCGCCGCGTGTCGATGTGGTGCCATTCTGACTGAATTCTGCCATTGTCACGATGCAGAACTACGCGACGGTTGGCGACTGTCTGGAGTGGTGAACAGTTTTCGATGTTCGCTGGTGAATGAAGTAGTGCCGGAAGTGTGTCAGAAGTGCTGGACAAGCTCAAAGGGGCGTTAGGGGTGTCAGCGCGTGTCTAAGGCGCAGTCGGATAACAAAGATGAGGCACCGCGACTTGAAGGTTCCGCAGATATCACGCAAAGTCTAGGAGGTATACACTGATTATCGGTGACTGCGAGGCGGCAAAAGTGGATTCACTCATGCAAGGTCCCGCTTGCTTGTAGTTGGTTCGCTGTTACAAGCGCAAGTGGGCCGCTCAACACAAACGCGCTCGTTGTGCCTTTCGTCACTTTGTGACCATCGAAAGAATCGATCGACACAGCCGCAGTTGACACCAACTCTGGTCGACTCCAACTCGTCCAGATGTATAGGCGAGGAGCTCATGCGAGTCGCTACGGGGATCGTGGGCCGCGACGAGGCCGTTGGATTGGCAGTCGGGGCAGTGGACGATCAATGCATTCAACAGCGACTTCAGAGTCACCACCACCACCACTATTTGGCGACAAGATGCGTACCTTGACCTACGAGCAGGTGAAAAGGTCTGTGCTGGCTGGGAGCTCGCCACGAATCACTGGTAGTCAGTATGTTGCCTCTTTCAATTGGCTGGAGGACAACGTACCAACGATGATTGTGCCTGGTAATATCCCCTCTCATCACCAAAAGTCCGAGAGGGATTCTGATTTTGATCCAGGTTTGCCTCCAAAGTGGACGCCACATGAGAGCCCGCCGCAGCTTCAGGAGGACGCTGGCGAATACTATCGTGATATCAATGCTGCACAGTATTCGAAACACCCTCTCGAAGCCGCCGTTTGCGCAGTCCTGGCTCAAACCCCTGACATTGCCACGACGGAAGTCGACTTGTTCGCGTGCGGTAGCACCTTGGGGAACCTGCTGCGATTCTCGCGTCGAGCTGACAAGACATTTCGCTTCATCGTGGAGGCCGTAGGCGAAACAGTGTTCTTCGTCCGGCGCGAGAGTAGCCCAACTGAGAAGATCCTTGACGTCCGCGGGTACGGTCATTCGATGCCCGATGCCTACACATCTCTTGACGACTGCGTAAAGAAGTCTGTCTCACATCAGCGGCTTATCAAGTACGATCTTGGCGGCTTTGAGTGCATAGTGCGCCACGAGGGAGACGGATATCTTGACAGTCACATTGGCAAATCGAGCCCCGGAGGAGGGCATCCTTTACTACCATCTTCGCAAGGTCTTCGGGTGATGGGTGGTGGGAAGGTGATCCCACAAGAAGCCATTTTTGACATCAAGACACGTTCGTTTTTCAGAAAGAGCCACGATGTGCTTGCCGGCGAGCTCGATCGACTCTGGTTGAGGCAGATCCCAAACTTCATCTTAGCGTACCATCAGAAAGGCGTGTTCAACGACATCGAAGTGATGGATGTCAGAGAACACATCGCCAAGTGGGAGGCAGAGCACGAGAGCGACATCCGCATCTTGTCAGCACTGATGGGGGAGATTATTGCATATGCGAGGGAGCGCTCGGGGACATCGTTTGAGGTCTGCTCGCAACAGCTCGGCATCCTGGAATTCCGACATGTACGAGGACACGTCAACCTAGCTCTACCAGTAGACTTGAGGCAGACTTGGTCGCGCGCCGTTAGGGGTGACAACGACGACACGGGCGAGGAGGATCTGGATGCAGATGCGGACTCAGACGCCGAGGACGGTGTAGGTATTGATTCGGGCGATGATGAAGCCGAACCAGACTATACCGCGTGCTCTGCTGAAGACTGTGGCTACTGCGGCCAGTGTAAGTATTGAAGAAGAGAGGAAAGAGGAGTGTAGAGGAAGAGAAGAGGATAGGGTAGAGGAAGGGGGAGTGTGCAGCGGAAACAACTCGAAGTGGAGCCGAGAACGGCATCCTCGGCCCGGACCGGACCGAATCACCTACACCTAAGTAAATCCATATAGAGCGTAGAAAGCTTCATCGTGGACATTTGAGAGCGGTACCAATAGCCCCGGGCTGTGAACGTGTGACTTTAGATATTGATGAGTGGTGAAAAACCCGCGGCGTAGGTGGCACAACAGGACATCGAATGCTGAATATGTCCGCCTCTCAGATGAGCAGAACTACGACGGTTCCAAATGCTTCAATATATCGTCTGCTTCTCGCCATCCGCTGATGAGCGCACCATGTACCGTGGCAAAGTGGTTACGACTGGTATGTTCACCAGCGAACCTCAGCGTAGCACCTTCTGCACCACGAATTGGCTTTTGAAACGCTTCTCGATGCCTCGTTTCTGATAAACCTTTGATCATATGGCTGTAGCTGCCTCTGGAGTACTCATCAGATGCCCAGCGGCTGACATGCACAGCACTGGGTGTCGGAACCTCTCGACCCAGCCACTGCGTCAGCGCACGATGTACAAGAGCGCCTGCTTGATCATCCGTCATGGCCTCAACTTGCACTGCATTCGAGCAAGAGACGAAGCATGAAAGTGCCGGCTGGTCTGTGAGAGTCTGCAGATTCACCAAAGATAAGAGTCGAGGGCCGGTCGAGTTGGAGCCGTCCTCCCTGATCGCAATACCTGGCAGCTCTTCTGTAAATCCCATGAAAGAGTCTAGGGAAGTCTGCTCACGTTCCACCAAGCCCACGTCTTCCTCGGTACCCATTTCAAGTGGCCGGTCAACGACAGCATGTTTGAAGATTGATGTATATGGTTCTTCTGTCCACCAAGGCTTATGGTAAACCAGCATGATCTTGTCCAGGGTGCCAAAACCAAGGCGTTGTATGGACTCTGACTTATCCGTAGGAAGCACTGGCTGGAACAGTGTCGAAGTGGAATCGGAATATTGCGCGGGCGTATGGTGCTGTAGCACACCAAGAGGCAGCGTACATACCACCTCATCGGCCGTATACGTACCTTGACTAGTCTTGACTCGAATTGGCTTCTCACTCCAGTCGACTTGCTGCACTTCGGCGCTCAGCTGGATGAGATCGGCAGCCACCAAGTCCTTCGCAACTTCTTCAATGACAGCAGTATAGCCATCTTGCAGGAAGACCTGATCCCCATCGAAGTCATCAATGGCAAATTCAAGTAGACCCATCCCAACACTTCCCTTCGCCTGCTCCGCCGATTGTGCTGCCAGTGGACCAGCTTCCATCACTTCAATAAATTGAGGCATAGCGCTGAGCGAAGCGTGGTACTCTTTAGGAATGTCTTTAAAAGCTTGCTTAAATCCGTGAGCTTTCGTGATAGCCTTCAGCATGGTCGTATCTCTAGCCTCATCTGCGGATTCTGCTGCAGCCATCTCGTGCAGCGACTCTATCGTGTCCCACAGTGCAGCCATGATAGGGCCTGATGCACTGGCCGGGATGACCAGATCACGACCTTTCGATTCCTTCGGACTGCCAAGCGATTTGACTTCAACCCAGTCACTACTAGCCTGACCCGGCCGCGACTCCGTACATTCCTGCGCGGCAAAGGCAACCACGCCACCCAGCTTCTTAAGCCGTTTGTGTGGCAACACTGTCATGAGCGGATTTGGTTGATCCGCTGTGCCTATGCCATGAATCCAATTCGCTCCTGTATCCAGACGACATCCATTGACATGTACGGACTGTATCCGACCACCTATGCGATCTCGTGCTTCGAGGACGAGCAGGCGATTCTTGGCTTTGTAGTGTTGATGCTGATAGAGTCTTGATGCACAAGCAAGACCTGACATTCCAGCACCGAGCACCAGGACTTCGTAGTGTCGAATCTCGTCGCGGGCAGCAGCGGAAGCCATTTTGGCACAGGTTCTCTGCATGAGTTTTATGATGGAAAAGTAAACATTTGAAGATGTAGGTGATGTCTGGTGAGTGATGACTGCTAGCTGCTCATTGGCCCGGGTCCTCCCTCACTCTAGGAGGTACGACTTGCCTTCGACATGCGCTTGCTGACTACGGCACTGGAAGCAGGACTGAGGATTGGCGAGAAAGGCAGATAACAGAAGAGTGACTGGTGAATGCATCGCCGACAAGAATGTATGTTTCTGGGACTACATGTACTGAAGCATCTGGAAGCAGAGACTGTGCCATGGCGGAAATTCGATTGCCTCGAATGTAGTTTCTTCAAGGTTCTCGACAGACCCTTACGTTGTAGTGAGATTCTGTTGTTCAAGTTTGTCACATGCATGATTGTGTCGAGCGCTCATAGCGGTAAGCTGCGGTAGTCTGCGCTGTATTCATCGACTATCAGCATGACTGTGTCAAGTCATGGTATAGGCCCTGGAAACGGAAGAGCGTCTGATGCTCTGAGTGCTAGCTTTCGTTTCGAGTGACTCGTTAGGTGTTGTACATGGTCTATGGACGCGCCGCATAAAGTAGAGCAATATAGAGCCATACAAAGTATTGCTCAGGCGTAGAAGTTCACGGTATCCTTCGCAAATCATTAGCCAGAGTTCCTCACGAACATGTCTAGTAGGATGGTGACTTACCTTCTTCTTGGCCTGGACTTCGGAGATAGCATCCACATAGTGCTCATGCGAGATCTTGCTGTGACCGGTACGCAGCGCGATCATGCCAGCCTCGACACAGACTGCCTTCAGCATAGCACCTCCAAACTCGTCCGTACTTCTCGATAGTTCCGGCCAGTTTACGCCCTCATCGACAGTCATCTTTCTGCTGTGGATGCGCAAGATTTGAGCTCGTGCTTCCTCATTGGGCAAGGGGAACTCGATCTTTCTGTCCAAGCGACCAGATCTCAGCAGAGCCGGGTCGAGCACATCAACTCTGTTCGTCGCAGCCAACACTTTGATCCTGTCATCGGATGCGAAACCGTCCAGTTGGTTAAGCAGCTCCAACATGGTTCTCTGCACTTCTCTGTCACCACTCTTCTCACTGTCGAATCGTTTCGTGCCCACGGCATCCAGCTCGTCAATGAAAATGATCGATGGCGCCTTCTCTTTTGCGAGAGCGAAGCAATCACGGACGAGCTTCGCGCCATCTCCTATAAACATTTGTACGAGCTGAGGACCGGCGAGTTTGAGGAAGGTGGCTTCGGTTTGCGCTGCGCAGGCTCGGGCGAGGAGGGTCTTTCCCGTTCCAGGAGGGCCATACATGAGGGCACCTGTCGTCATATTAGCTGAGATCTCGACTGCATAACGAAGATGGTGGTACCCTTCGGCGCCTTGATTCCAATCTTCTTGAAGCGCTCAGCCTCCTTCATGGGCCAGACTACTGCCTCGACCAGCTCTTCGATCTGCTTGTCAAGACCACCGACATCGGTATATTTCTCTGTCGGCTTCTCGTCCACCTCCATGGCCTTGACTCTACTGTCGTACTCGGCAGGCAGCGTATCGAGGATGAGATATGAATCCTTATTCACACCAATCAGATCACCGGGCTTCAGCTTGTCGTGATCGACAAGACCTATCAAGGGGAGGAAGATCGTCTGCCGAGTGGAAGTCTTAATGACGGCCGACTTGCCCACGCGCGTGGCGTCAAGGTCAATGTTGGCGCCTTCCTCTTGCGCCTCTGCCTCGACATCCAGATCCAGAATCTCGACCACGTTGCCCACCAGATATGGCAGTTGCCTGTTGTTGTCAATCTTGTCGACGTTGTCCTTAATTTTGTCCACCATGCTCTGCTTCTCGTGCTGCAGACGCGCGTACTCGGATTTCATGATCCGCGAGTCGTTCTCCAGTAGTCGCCGCCGGGCTTGGATGTCGCGTGTGCTGGAATTGAGAATCTCGGCGTCGATCTGCTCTTCCTGATCCTCTTCCTTGTCATCATCGGCTCTGTCGCCATTTGCGTCCTTCATGTCCGCATCGGAGCCCTTTTTGTTCTTGTCGCCGTCGTTGTTCTCCTCCTTCTTGCCATCGCGCTCCATGTCATCGAGATCCTCGAGCGTCGACATCGTGGCGGTGTTGGTGTGAACTGTGGGGTGATGATGTACCGGAGAAGTGTTGGTATGGGGGTTCGGATGCGTGGGGCCGGAAAATGGTTCAGTGTTCGATGAAGATGTCTAGCACTGGAAGGTGTTTGATGGTCGATGGTTCCAGTCTAGGCAAGAGCTGTTGACGACGAGCTCAGTTAAGGTTTCGCTTAGTTCCATTACGCCGACTTGCCGACATAGGAGGTAGGAGGTATTGCATTCTCTTCTCTTTCCCTACGACATCTTCATCAGGCACTACCTATATGTAGGTATAGTAAGATAGGTCCCTTCTGGCAGCTCAGGATTATCAGCTTCAAATGGGACTTGTTACTCACGTCACACGAGAAATACGTACAGGCTTCAGGAGGTACCTATCGATACTGTTGTACAGATATTCGTAACATGCGAGTGCTTACAGGATGAGTACATGCAGGATACGATAACATATTCTTCGTTTCCATGTGCAGTCTTACTGCCCGTCAAGTATTGTTAAGGCATTGAATGACCTGAACCTGTGGCCCAAGGTAAAGTACAAGTACATATAGCTGCTGCTGCATACTATCTTTGACTACTGGCTGCACAGACTTCAGCGATTGCGAGGAAATTGAATGCAGTACTATCACGATGCTTGCCCGCCATCCCCAATGCTGTCCGAATCAGCAGATTGAGCCTACTCGGAGCAGCGTAGACAATCGTACCTCGTGGGGAGGTTGGCAACGATCTTTTACTTGACGCTAGCCAGATGTGTTATCTGCGGACTCCGAGAGTAAAGACGTTGTGCTGACAACGCGCGAAATCTCCTAGACGGCCTTGGACGAGCTCTACCTTAGGCTTTGGTAATGGCATTCTGTGTTCCCAATGAACATGGTCAAATTTCGATAACGGACTAATGTTGAAGATGTTCATGTGATCGTGAGGGTGCAAGAGATCTCCAGCTGGTGTCAGTTGTGCTCGCGTCGGAGCGTGGATTGGATGAATAAGCGCGACTGGTCCAATGAGGCGGATATGAATGGTTGGATGGCCGATGTGAGCTTGCGGTGGTACTTCATCTTGGTTGGTCATCGTGGCGAAGGAGGCGGTTGAGTATGAACATTTGATGATCCTACGAAGTACCTCCTACATGTAAGGTAGGTACTTATGCTGTGTCAGGTCGCCTTCACGACGAAGAGTCTCTATTCACCACAGAGCCGAAAGCCGCAATACTGAAACGCCTGTGGAATAATGCGAACAGGTAAGGTAAGGTACATGTATCTCTGGAGAATAATGATGTGGTCTCGTGATGCATTGGCTGTCGCGAAGTGCGAGCTAGCTGATGTCCGTAGATCTTGCAATACAACCACAGCACAGACAACAGCCACCACATACATGTACGCATTGATGACCAATCGTCGGCTACCAAGTCCGAGTTTTCTAAGGTGCGAGCCTCTACTTTGTAGCTTCTGAGGAAATGAGCATCTAATCGTCCGCGTCGACGATAACTCGAGCAAGGCAAGGTACTTTATATATACCTGTATACACACATGTACCTAATGTATGTATAAGGTATACCGGGTATCACATGAGATTGAGGTTCGTTCGCGCTTGCCAGTCGTCAGTCTAGTCCCCTCTAGCCTACATGCACTCACTCTACGTCACATTTCTTGATATCAAACTCTCACCTCAGGTACATGCACATTACATACTCCTCGTCCTTTGCTCGATACAGGTACCTTGTGCTGCTATGAGATGGCGTCTCAACCACGCCAGAAACTTCTGGAAGACGTTGAGGATGAAGACACACGACCTCGAGGTGTCATCGCTGCCGTCAAAGTACACTTACCACCACGCGTAGAGCGACGCGACTCTGCTGATACCTCCGCTATAGTCGGCCTTCCTCAAGCCCATTTATCCATTTGTCTCTCGCACCGCTCTACGCGCGTATCTCACCACCTTCCTCCTCTTCTCCGCCACTCTCACGCTCCTCGCGCTCGCGACGACAGCCTACGGCCTCTTCTACTGGTCGTACATCCCACGTATAGGCTTCGAACGCACCATCCACCTCCAGTTCGACAATGTCTACAGACCACAAGGACAACTCCACTCCAAGTTCGCTTCCCCGAAAGAACACCCATATCCTTATGGGAGCATCAGTCTATCCCCTGAACTAGTGGCAGGACAAGGATACGATGTCGTGGTGGAGCTAGACTTGCCGCGCACGAGAGAGAATCGCGATGCTGGGAACTTCATGCTAGAGGTCACCATGTATGCCGCCGACGAGAGAAAGAGCTCTTCTGTAGACAGCATTCTCGATGCAGCAAGGCTGGCCATGACCCCAACGAGCATGAGAGACGATGCAGGGACTGTCCTCGCCATATCAAGGAGACCGGCGATCGTGCCGTATAGAAGTTGGATCGTGGATCATATCTATACCGCCAAGAGTCTACCTTGGTATTTTTTCAATCTTAGAGAGGAGAAGGATAAGCTGAGAGTGCCCATATTTGAGAAGGTGAGTTTTGGGAAAGGAAGAGCGGGACTGCCTGCTATGTTACACTTGGAGGTGCAGAGTACGCATCGGCTGCAGATATACAGTGCTGTGGCACACTTCCGGGCACGGTTCACGGGTTTGAGATGGATCATGTACAATCATCGGATCATCTCTGCTGCATTGTTCATTACGGCTTTCTGGGTCACGGAGATGTTGTTCTTCGGCTTGGCCTGGGCGATTGTGTCTTTCTACCTGTCGTCGCCAAAGCCGAGAGGACAGTCAGAAACGCAATTCGACAAGACACCAACAAAGATCAAAGTCGAGGAGGAGGAAGATGCAAAAGCTGCAATGTCGGAAACTGAGCGCACATTCCCAACTCTGGCAGGGCAAGCGCCTCTGCGATACCAGTCGCCCACAAACGGCATCAAACAAGAAGGCGACGATGAGGAGCCTAGTTTACGACCTGTTACACCTGCTGCGGAAGCTGATGACGAAGACGAGGATGTGGACTTCTTCGATTCTGGCATTGGGACGTCCCTGGAATCCAGCAACCCTAGTCGAAGAGAGAGCATACGAAGGCGACGAGGAAGATTGAGTGATAGACCTGATGCGGATAAAGCGTACTAGGAGGCTTTTGAGTATATCTTCAACTTTGAGGACAGAGCTCAGATGCGGAAGAACAGTACGCTACATGATGGAGCATTTTGGACGAACGTGAAGTCTGGAAACGGTTTGTGGGCGAGCAGATGACTGCTGCCTGTAGATCTGCAGATTGATGACCAGCTCGAATGCCGAGAGATTATGATTCCCTTAGTTCACGAGGTACGTTGATTTCCTAGCAGAAGACAGAACTAATGCCTCAGGTAGCTCTCCCCCTGGTAGTGTACAGTTGGTTCATGAGCTACATGTACTGATTATGGTTGGTGTTACCCCTTGAGGAGGGAATAACAGGAAAACGCGCCGAATAAGTGCGGAATAGTGTCTCTAGACACTACACAACTGTTATTCAACTGCTTCGGCGCGCCGGACGCGTAATTACGATACGGCGCGAGAGTACTAGTACGCGTACCTTAACGTAGATACTCTAAGGGTAGAACAGGTTACTACAGCCTCTTTGCCGGAGGGTGGTGTTCAACAGCCCATACCTCTCCCCTGCCGGTGGTATCCGACTGTCAATGACGGTCATGTGCTATCCGACTCCTGAGTGAAACTAAATTATACTTCCGAATGGTGGCTAGCTCTAGCTTACTACAGGGAAGCTGGGCTGCCGGTAGTATTCGACTGTCAACGATGGTCATGTGCCGTTCATAATGGTCGTCTGCTATCTGACAGACTGCCCTCGTTCGAGTCAGGAGGTAGAAATAATGTCCATTGATCGTTCGCTTGCCGCCTCCTTCGATCGAGATCTGACTTCTCGTCACGTAGACCATGGCACATCAACGATCACCGCCTCAAGCTTGTCTCAAATTGATCGCTCAGGATAAAATTTTCCCCCTTACAAGAGGGAATATCGACAAGTTGCGGGAAGTGCGGGAGAAGGTCGTCCGAAACGTGAGTCTACAAGCAGCGACATATGAGAGTGTAGTAACCCCCTTAGCGGACGCACAACACGCGATCGAGGATAGCTATGGAGTGATCGGGATGCTGAAATATGCTGCGCCCGACGATCGCACCCGACAAGCCTCAAAAGAGGCAAATCACCTATGGGATCAAGCGTGGAGCGAATTCAATAACGACCACGACGTCTATCTCTTACTGCAAGCGGTCAAGGACAGGAATATGCACCTGGAAGCCGAGCATGCAAAATATCTCGACGAGCTGCTAGCAAACTTCCTTCGATGTGGTCATGGAAGATTACCCCATGAAGGGATTGCCGACTTGCTTGAGAGGAGGAATCGGATCGACAGCCTACGCAACGAATACACTAGAAACATCCGAGAGGCTTCCGCTTCGACATGACCGTGCACGACCTCCCCACACCCGAGTCCTGTCACGCCCTAGATCCTACTCAACTCTACGCCGATTTCGAAACACGCCTCGAATTCCTTTCCGTATCTGATCCAAAAGAACTTGGATACCCGTATGCGAGCACGTTCCACCTTCTCGCGGGCTACGATGCTGGGTATTACGGCTATCTGAGCGCGCAGGTGTTTGGTGCAGACTTGTTCGGTGAGTTCGCTGACGATCCGAGAAGAAAAGAGACTTGGAACGCTTTCGATCAACGATATTAGTGCGTGGAGCAAGTCGCGATGAGATGTCCAATTTGCAGGAATTTTTGGGGAGGATGCCGGGAACGGAGGCGATGATTTTTTCGTGCGCTGTGAGTGAATGATTAGGGCGAGTTTAAGAAATCTCACTCCTACGATATCTATGCACGGGCACACACGTACTTTGGCATTGTCTTAGCAACGACTCTAATCTGGACTCCAATAAACATTTACGAGAATCATGATTCTGATAGCATACTGTTTATCCCAAGACATTGGCCACCCCCGGAGATGACCAAGACGAACAGAAGAGCGACACCATCTCGCTGTGTACGAGAAGCGTCTCAGCAGGAATCGCTACTGTCAATTCCAGATCACAGTCTACGTGCCACTCCTCTTCTTCTCAAGATGATCTGCAACATGACTCTCCAACACTCGCCCGACACTCGAGTCTCGATAAAAAAGAAGATTAGTGCTCGATTATGGTTGGTATTACGACTGACATGGGCCTCCCGCTCTGTCACCATGTCTGAAGATGCGTGTATGCCAAGGTTCCTCCAAGCGCTTTCGATGCTTCCATCATCGACCCGTATCCATCACAGTAACGACGGAGCACCTAAGTCCTCTCTTTTAGACTTCATCCATGAGCCTTGGGTTCTGTCTGAACGGGTCAGGCATGTCATTGCCCCTGGCTATTTTTGGGGTGCGTCGAGCTCGGGTACAGCCCATTCCCGAAAAGCTTCGGTCATGCACTCCAAGGACTTTTCAGTGTAGTTGGCATTATCTTAGACGCGAACTTGGCACTGTAAGTGTCATCTGCTGCTGAAGTCGGACGCGTTTCGGCTAGCGAGCGCAACTCACTCGTCTGAGCATATTGCGGGGCAGATGGGATTATATTAGTGCAGTAGATAGACCTGTGGCCGCCACTGAGAAGGACGACTTGATACCTAGCATGAGTTTCCTCAGGAAGGCTTTGGCAAGCTTCCTCGCCATCTCGTCGCCCGGCAAATGTCGCATATCAATCGAGGATCTCCTCGGTCATGATTCTTTTTTTCATTCATCGTCGACGAAACTGCTCGCCAATGGTCCAAATATGGGTACTTCCACTCGGTCCAGCGTCTCGGCATATCTCCACGCTCCGTAGGCCAGATAGCCGATCAGTCCTATATCGCCAGCAAACAGCATCCAGCTCACAATGGTCGTCCAAATGAAGATGATATGTAGCAAGAACAGTGCAGAAAACCTAGCCACATGATAAGTTAGCCACCCCTTTTCATTTTCCCACACTTCACGCCCCGTCCTCCCATTGGGGGTTTGTTTCTCTCTTAGGCAACCTACAGCAAAGAACTCTGCCAAGCATGAAAGCGCACATAATCACTCTTCTGCTCAAACAACAACAACACGACACCCGCAGCAGGCGGCAAGAGCAAATATGCCAACGCGGCTTCAATCCCAATATTCAACCCTAAACTCGTTTCATATACGCTGATCAAGCCCCCTCTGCCTCCCAAAGCTGTACTCCCTCCTCCCTCGAGTGCGCGATCACCAATATAGTCGTTGTAATACGGATTGCGACTGGCTCGTCCTTCTTCTTCATCTCCTTCTGCGTCGTCGTCATCATCATCCAAGTCTTGGTATTGAGAGGGATCAGGCAGACGCTGATTGCGGGCTGCAGCCCATGGGTCTTCGCGATCTGCGACGGAGGAAATGTTGCGCACGGGGAGCTGCTGTCGCGTGTGGTGGGGGCCTGGACTGCCGGGTGGGCTTCGGAGGGGTGGAGGCGATTTTGCTCGTTCGGATTCGGGGGGAGAGGATTGGTAGGGTGCGAAGTTCATGGCCATGGCAGGTACAGGTATTATTGCTCGGGTTGGATGATTATTGTTTTGTTGTATGATTGTGGGGACTTTGGTGTCGTGCTGTTTATTAGAAGAGCAGGGCAAGATAGATGGGGAAGACGTGATTGTTTGCGCGCACGAGCTCCAGGTACAGGAGGAGGTAGGCTGGCGTGAACGATGACAGGGTCCAAGTCTCGGTTGTCAGTATCTAATCTCGGCACGGAATTACTATTATAAGATCCCCGCGGGGATTACCTCCATCTTAATGTATTTTCCAACAATGTAACATTATAACAACACATATCAACAACAAGAACATCCATCAACAATCCTGCTATACCGCACATTTCCGTCATTTTATGAACGACATGGTCCAATCTCTCGCCTTGGCAGAGTACAGGCAGCAGGAAAACTGCCACCGCTCCAACGCCTATTTGATCGGACCATCTTCCGCTCTAGCCGCGTTGCCCGTTTCAAATACCTGAACGGCAGAATCACAATAGCATTGAAGACTGACATCATATGGAGACAGCGCTGTCAATCCACCCACTCATCACTCACCACTCACCACTGATATAGCAAGGACAACGGTCTGTACCTACATGTAGTGACCTCCTGGTGAACAAGTAGGTCATTACTAATGAAATCATGTTCCCTCGCTATCTCCTAACACCGATCATTACAAAACGCTCCCTCTTCGCCTATCCCACTCTCTCCACAACATTCACTCGACCCCTCCTCCTCTCACCACACCACTCCAAGCACTTCCATACCACTCCATCAGCAGATATGCGTGTCCTGCTCACCGGCGGCTCTGGCTTCATTGCCGCACACGTGCTTGACATCCTCCTCGAACATGGCCACAGCGTAGTCACCACTGTTCGATCCCAAGACAAGGCAGACCGCATCGCCAAAGCTCACCCGAAGAACGACAAGTCCACCCTGGATTTCGCCATTGTTGAAGACATTTCCCAAGAGGGTGCATTCGACAAGGCCGTTATTTCCGATCCTCCATTCGAGGCAGTCGTGCACACAGCTTCTCCATTCCACTTTCAGGTCACCGATGTCCAGAAGCAACTTCTGGACCCTGCCATAATTGGCACGACAGGAATCCTCAAGAGCATCAAGAAGTCGGCTCCCACCGTCAAGCGAGTCGTCATTACTTCCTCCTTTGCTGCCATCCTGGACCCCTCCAAGGGAGCACGACCTGGTAAGTTCGGCTTAGGGCGAGAGTAGAACTACCGATCCAGGCTAATTGAGACTTCCTAATTTAGGCCACACGTACAGCGGCTCCGACTGGAGTCCTCTCACGCACGCCCAAGCCCTCGAGAATCCCTTTGCAGGCTACCGAGCGAGCAAAACCTTTGCTGAACGAGCAGCATGGGAATTCGTCGAAAAGGAAAAGCCCAACTTTGATCTCGCCACCATGTGCCCACCGCTCGTGCTCGGTCCCATCGTGCACTACCTCAACTCGCTCGACGCATTGAACACTTCCAACCAACGGATCCGTGACACCATGCTCGGCAAATACAAAGACGAAGTCCCCGAGACAGGCGTCTACATCTGGATTGACGTCCGCGATCTTGCTTTGGCACATGTCTTGGCTGCCGAGAAGCCCGAAGCGGGCGGGAAGAGATATTTCGTGACAGCGGGATACTTCAACAACAAGAAGATTGCGGAATCCATTGGAAAGGCATATCCCGAATTGAAGGACAAGTTGCCCACGGAGAAGACTCCAGGAGGCAATGATCCCGAGGGCGGTCTCTATGATATCGATACGAGCGTGGCGAAGCAGTATCTGGGACTGACGTATAGGTCTTTTGACGACTGTATCAAGGATACCGTGGAGAGTCTCAAGGCAGTTTCATGAAAAGCATTTAAAATTGAGAGGGAAAAAAAACAAGTCTTTCCATGACTTTTTTTTCTTTTCAATATATTCAAAATATAATATAAAGAATAAAAATGACGGGTCCGGCCCAATCACAAGCCATCATGCCGATGATGTTGATGTTCATGTCCATAATGAAACTCACTACTCCCCGTCCTCCTCCTCCCTCCCATCCCCATCCTCATCATTTCATTCCCCCCTTCGACAGCCGTATTCGGCGTACTCCCTTCCAACTCCATGGTACACTTGGTCTCCAATTCCACCGGCTCTCGTCCCGCAGCATCGAGTTCAAAAACCCGATATGGTTGCGGCAACTCGTGCAAATTCTTCGTACCATCACCATAATCACCATGACCACCACCACCGCTACCGCGACCGCCAGCATGAGGAGGTTCATTCCCATTCGCATCACCATCATCCTCCCCCTTGCCCCTCATCGCCCCAGCCACAGCCACAGCAGCCATTTTCCTCGTCTTCCGTCTCAACCACCAAATCACCCCTCCACCAATCACCAACGCCACACCAACAATCGCTCCAATTGCGATTCCCGCAATACACGCATCAGTTAATTTTTTGGATTTTTTCTTCTTGTCTTTCTTGGCGGCGTCATCATCATCAGTACTTTTACTTTTACTACCATCTGATGACTCCCCATCCTGCTTGTTCTTGTCCTGGGAAAATGGTACCACAGGTTCTGGCGCAGGCAAGACAGCCGGGGCGCGACTTCCCGGAGAAATGGTTTTGGGTCGAAGACATTTGAGGAGAGCGGTGGAAGTCGCCGTAGCCGTCGACGGTGGTTTAGTATTTGGTTGGGTAGTAGAAGTAGAAGTAGAAGGATTCGAAACAGAGACCCAAATCATCAAGACGGGACTGACATGCGTCACGACCAAGTCGTAGATTTGATTACTGTAAGAATTTTTGGCCGAATTGAGAGACCACCACGGAGAGCTATGATGGTCATCTCCATGTTTGGAGGCGGTGGTGGTGGTGTCGTCGTCGTCGTCGGCTTGTGCTTGGCAACCATGATAGATGGGTGAAGATTGGGAATCGGTCAACGCGGCCGCGTCGTACCAGGTCGTATTGGCCGAGAAATAAGGGCCGCATTCTTCCGGTGGATCGGCGTTGATCATGTGAGCGATTTCCGGGCAAGACTGCGAGAGCTGGGAATCGTTGTGCAAGGCGGTCGCGTGGCGGTTGAGGATTAACCGTTCCGCGTACGTCTCTGCGGCGGAACGGATGGCCTGAACGCACGCGTCGTCGAGCATTTGCATACAGTCGCCCGTGTCGTTCTGCGCGCGTAATTCGGTGTTGGTGGGGAGGTCGGTGAGAGTCATTTGGCAGACATCGTAGCCGAGATGGGCATTGTCGGAATAATTGGCGCCATTCGTATTGATCCAGGTGGTCACCCAGAGTGAAGTTGAGTCGCGGTCTTCGGTGAGCGTGGTCGCAAAGGACGTGGGGAGGGTCTTTCCAGATGTGTTGTTCTTTTGATCCACTTGCGCTCCTTGATTGAAGTCGGGTTGGTATTCCACCACGCCGCTCGCATTGGCGAATTTGAGCTTGCTGTTGCAAAGGGGATCAAATTCGTTCGCGTCTGCGCGGCATCGTCCCGCATAGGCGCCGTAGACGAGGAGTAGTACTTGTTTCCGACGCATATCCTTCTCCTGTTCGGGCTTAATATACACACACAGTAGTAGTATGGTGCGTCTTCCACAAAACGGCAGTGCGTTGGCAACACAAGCATACAAAAGCAAAGGCGTGCGGCCTGCGTTGGTGTCTAAATCTAAATAGCCTGTTTGTCAGGGGTAAGCTCAGTTACTCACTAAAGTTAGCCTGTGCCCGGCTCCGGGGTATAAAAACTCTGGATGAGAGGAAACAGAACGATTGGGAAGCCCATCAAAGTGCGCTGCGGCGAGGCAATGAAGTGCGCTCTCCATGTCGAACTCTCAGCCGCGCTGTGGGTGACACTGAGGATTACTATTAGTCTAGTATGAAGGGGTACGTCGGTACGATCAATACGCTGAGCGTCGCGCGATCCATGTCCATGTCCATGTCACCTTCCGTATACTTTGTCGGAAAAGCCGCACACTACGCTTTTCGCCGTTCGCCGCACTCGCTTCGTCCAAATCTGTGCGCAGTAGTGAATGCTTCAGAAGTGGGATTGCTCGGCAGGCCCTTTCGCTTACTCGACATGCTTGGGCTGTGTACCAGCCACAGTCACTGGAACCGCTGCACCTCCACACTGCCGTAGCCTCGATTCTAGCACCAACGTGGGACCTTAGCAAAGTGTTGTCACTGGCAGTCAAAAGAGTGCTGTGGTGCCTTCTTGTCTTGATTCTGGGAAGAGGGACGGAGCGCGGGAATGCCTATTGGCTTGTAGTTATTCTTTCGTCCTCTCGATACATTCCCGTTGACCTGATTTGGGTCTTTCGTGCACGATTGAGACGCCCTTGCCCTGTAGTCGCTCCCATCACACCACTGCATATCAGGCTGACAGAGCCTGGCCCCCGAATGATGCTTCGTGCAGGACTTGATGTGTCTCGGTTTCTCTCATGGCATTTGCGCTTGGCGCTTCAGGAATGCCACACATTCTGCCCTTTGAACGGAACTCATACTGCCCTCCACACTTGAGAGCACTGATCGTGCGACTGGGAATGCAGGTACTTCGAGCCTGCTCATCGCCGTCCTCGGCCGCGATCTCTACTTGGGCTCCTGCTCCTACTGCTGTAGCTTGAGTAGCTGCGACTCCGACGTCTACCGCCGCCTCTGCTGCTGCGCCCGCCTCTGGGCCCTCCACGACTGCCTCTGGGTGGGGGCGTTCGGCTAGGGCTTCGGCTACGCCCCGAGTAGGATGGACTTCTGCCTCCCCTCCTCACCTGCGGAGATCGGCTTCTACTGTAGCTGCGTGGCCGGTACGAATCTCGTGGTGGCTCTTCGTATCGATCTCTGTAACCACCTGGGCCTCCGCCTCGTCCAGGCGGACCACCTCCATATCTTGGCGGGCTTCTCCCCCCTCTGCCGCCGCCTCTACCTCCTCTCATGCCTGGCAATGGTGGCGGACCATCTCTGAACCTGTGCGGCTCTCCGAATCGGTTTGGAGGAGGGCGCATGGGTGGTGGGCTTCGGCTGAACCTGCGTCTCGGCAGGACGATGCTGACACTGATCAACGCGCCGTCCAATTGGGCCTCGTGCATGTTGCTAATGGCAGCTTCGGCGTAGGATGGCTGGGTGTACAGGACATAGGCAATCCCGCGATTCGTCATGAAATGCTTATTCATTGGCATCTCCAAGTCAGAGATGCTGCCGTACATGCTGAAGATTTCGCGCAAGTGCGACACGTTGACGTTCTTGGTGAGCTTCTCGATGACAATTTTGGCGGAGCGTGGAGGCGGCGGACCAGGCGATTTCGAGCCGCTACGGGCGCTGTCTGGAGTGCGCGACCTGCTCATGCTCCTGCCCCTGCCCCTGCTCCTACTTCTGCTGCGCGAGTCCATGGATCTATCGCGGGTGCGGGAGGGACTCAGGCTGCCGTCGTCGCGCTTCTTCAGGTGGGCGGAACGCGATCGAGCACGCGCATCTTCGCTGGCGGCCGTCGCTGGTCGGCCGGGCGTGCGCGAACGTCCGCGAGACACGCTGCGGTCGGACATGATGTTTGGAGACTGGCGACGCCGGGTGAGGTGCAGTGTGATTGATACTGAGGTGGTGCTGCTATCGCCAGGACATGTCGTGTTGGTGATGAGCAGTTAGAGAGGAAGGACTTTGAGAGAAGCTCCAGCCAAGAGCAATGAGAGCTTCAAACTGGCGCCTTGGCGCGTTTAGAACTTGGTACTGTAGGAGGTACCACTACCTCCCAGGAGGTTTGTTCTGCTACCGAACCACCTCACTTATGTTACTGTATACTGCAGCCCTGCCTCGAATATATCGCCGAGAGCTTCGCACGGTTACGTTGTATTCAATTAATCTTGCAGAGCTAATGAATCTACAGGCCGAAGTAAGATGGCATATCTATCAACTGACGGGCTTCTGTGGTCAGAGACATATTCTGTTACGCTATACTCAGAGAAGGGATCGCGACTCTGTTACTCCTCATGACCAGGTATATATTAAAAGATGATGGCCGAGGGGGGGAAAGCCCTGACTGTAGTGGCTATTGTCGACTCAGGAATCGTATACCACTGGACTCTTGACCTGTGATATGCCTGATGTGGACCAGCATCGAGATGGATCATCTACACCGCCTTCAACTTCTCCAATAACTCCTCCATATCATTCGCATAAATGTCAAATGTGCCAAACACGTCCGTCACCGGATCATGTTCCTCAAAATACAAATAGGCAGTCTTGAAGCCCGCTTTCCGCGCAGCAATCAAATCCCACGCATGCGCAGCAACAAACCATCGATCCCCATCCCCTTCCGTTCCCACACCACGCTTCGTCAGCCACGAATGTGCATTCTGATACACCTTTGCATCCGGCTTCGCGACGCGAATCTCATCGCAGCTCAACAGATGATCCGCATCCAGTTCCACATCCGCCAGCGCATAGTACTGGAGACTCGCTTCCTTGCCTCCATTCGTCACACCGTACACATCCCACCCGGCCTCTCGCAGCCCATCATAGCACTTCTTCAACCCCGGTCTCGCCACCAACGCGCGGACTTGCGCCATGACGGCTTCCACATCCTCATCTGAGACGCGATCCAAGGGGAGATCGACAACCGCACATGCGCGTCGCAGGGTCAGTTTGAGAATCTGAGCGATGGGCGTGTAGTTCCCCGCCACGGATGCGTAGGTAAAGTCTCGTTGGGCGGCGTAGAACCAACTGAAGAAGAGAGACTTGGAGTCTGCGGATACGGTGCGGAGTTGGGAGCCCAAACGTGCTTCGATGGTGTCTATGGCGGGTTGGAAGTCGAAACATGTTCCCAGAACATCGAAGCAAGCGGATTTGGGCATGGTGGACCGTGACGATGATGATGATGACGATGGTGGTGGTGGTGGTGTTGGCGGTATGATGTGATTGACACTGCAGGCCGGCGGCAAACAAAAGTGTCGAGCAGGGACTGTACAGGCGTTGAGTGCGAATCTGGTCTGTGCAAGGTTGAAAGGTCCAGGATCGGATACAAATCGATTAGGGCTGTTCAGGCTGTTGTTGAGGGGTTCTAGAAGCGTGTATACATGTACCTATGAAGCTCTGAAGCTGCTGCTGATGACGTACAGGAATGTAGACGATTGACGAATGCAGAAACCCGAGCCCGCCGCCGCCGCCGCCGATGAGGAGGAGGAGGAGGGGGAGGAGGAGGGGGGAGAGGGGGAGAAGGGGGGGAGAAGAAGGAGGAGAAGGAGAGCAACGAGCGAGTCACCAGCCTAGGTATATCTCTACGGTAAGAATCAAGGGACACTGGATAACACTTCTTCCATTAGGTATCATGATACGGGCCTTGTAGCCAGACAGGAGTATGGCCTCTCCTTCGACATTGTTTGCCCACCACCAAATCTCCTTTGCCGGTCACTGAAGGCATAGTAGGTACATCATACATGTAGTGTTACTCCGCACGTTGGCAAGAGAGAGAGAGCGCTTATCTAGGCACTCCAGGCTCTCTTGGCTCTCTTGGCTCAGTAAAGTCAGAAGGCCTGACAAGATGGCGATGCTTTATCGATGTTGGGGAAGCAAGCAAGGATTCCAGGATGGTGTGGAGAGCAGCAATCTAAAGGTGAGTCTGGCGGTTGGTGTAATTACTATTCTCAGTAGTCTGCGACGTGTACAGTTGCCGTCTCACACTCCCTAATCCCTATCATCATAAGGTATAGGTACTCTGCCATCTCAAAGAGGCCTACAGGAACAATGTGCACACTCTCCACGCCTTCTACCAGTCAGCGCTTGCTCATCGTCCCCCAGGAATACATAGGTACTTACTATAGCACCGAATAATACGAACGAATCGCACTACTCATCACATTCTCAGTAGCCGTTTGCTCATCATGCTGACGGCTGACTGTCTACCTGTAACATCTACTCTTGAACCAACCGCAGGAGTCTGGCGCCGAGATCTGGGATGTCCACATACCTCCTACTCGATGGGTCGATGGAGAGCGTTCTGGCCCGCAAGGGACAGGGAGAGCTGTTCACTACGGAGGTACTTAGGTTCTCGGCTGTTCACAGCCAGGCAGAATCGGACTATTCGATGCGAACGAACCTTGCTACTAGGCACCCTCGTTTGCCCTGATTGAGCGAGAAGACGCAGCCAGTATAATACTGCAACGATAAGGTATTCGATTTCGAAAAAGAGACGTCTGTGAGTTTCTCTTTGACGTTTGCCACATGGGCACGGTGCCTGCGTGCGCAAGCATGCATGATTGCCCTAAGGGTGGTCACGGGCGATTCAGGGTACCAGGGACAGGTGTATGCTACATGTACAGGATCTCACATGCCCTAACGGGGGTGTTCAATCCCCTGTGGGCCTGTGTCAAAGTACGGCTCGCTTGTGATATCCTATTGTACAGGCCGCGTCAGGCACACAACACAGAACTCAAACAAGATGAAGCATCTACCTCACTATACTGCCAAGCGAGAAAGCGGAGCATGCAGACGAGCCTGGCAGCTATATTCTGATTATTATATCCCCAAGTCCCGAATCACAGTCTCGTTGGGAGAGTCTTGGCCCAGTGTTTCAACATGGCGGCAGCAGTGGGCGGACATTCATCTGGCACTGCGGTCGTGGTATCGACCATCTTGTTCTGCAGTCTCGCCGGCTTGTTGACGATTGCAAGACTGTACACGCGAATGAGGGTTACGAATAGTGTCGGAGTCGATGACTACCTGATCGTGCTCGGGCAGGCAAGTGAAAGCACAGCAAACAAACCATGGCTCGACTCTGCTGACCATGATCAGATTCTGGCAGTCCTACTGACCGTCTGCATGGTAAAGCAAGGTAGGACAATCCCACGAGCTCATGTGAGTCGAAGACGCTGGTTCATGCTGATGGCCTTGCAGTATCACATGGCATGGGACGACATTTTGCAAGTCTCAGCCACTGGCATATGGAAGGGTCGTTGAAGTGGTTCTGGACTTCAGCCTGGATCTACGCTCTGGCCCTAGGCACCGTGAAGATGTCCATTCTCTTCCAGTACTTGCGTTTCTTCACCGTGAAGAAATGGCGCATCGCGTGCTACGTGACCATGGCACTGAATACGGGCGTGACCATCTACGGGGTCGTTGTGACCATTTTCTTATGTAAACCCGTCAGTGCATTTTGGTCACTACCGAGCAATGGAACATGTCTGAACCGATTAGCAGTGGGGTGAGCATATCATCGATCAGCACGGACGGTATGTACATGCAGTGCTCAGCTGACACGGGCACCAGGTACTCGATGGCGGGCCTCAACATTTTCACAGACATATGCACGACCATACTACCCATCGCGCCGCTCAATGCGTTGCCCTTCCCGAAACGACAGAAGCTCATCCTCATGATGCTATTTTGTCTCGGAGGATTGACTTGCATTCTTTCCATCCTACGACTGCCTGCGATATACATCATGTCCAAAACCAGCGACGTGTCGTGGGATAACCCAAAAGCCGCAATATGGTCCGCCATGGAAGTGTACGCCGGCATCATCTGCTCGGTACGTGTTGGTCCCAACTTGTCTTGTCTCCCGTCTTTTACTCACCATGATATGTTCATATAGTGTATACCGACGTTGAAAGGACTCATGTCAAGGTTGTTCCCTTCGCTATCATTTGACCAAAGTTACTACAACACACGCTCCGGTGTACGGCTCGACGCGCACGAGATTCGATCGCACGGCGTGAGGGAGAGCACCAACTTTTCCCACCTGCGTCGGGCGAGTCTCTACCCCCCAGAAAAGTCACCGAGGCCTCCCGCTCTGGAACTTCACGCACATCCTCTGCCCGTTTATCATCAACCCAAGAGCCCCATCTCTCCCAGCTGTGCAAGCTATTGTCCGAGTCAAGATGAGGATGAAGACTTCCCTGAGCCATGACTTTGCCACCCCCCTCCCGAAGTGCACAAGACGAGACCGAATATCCGGTCGAGCCTCACCTGGAACAAGATTGATGATGATGTACTACTACTACTTACTCATTGCGGGGGCACATGGTCGGCACGGGAAACGCAACTCGCTCTCCCTCGCGCCAGCACACGACCATCCCATCTGCCATCTGTGTGCACAGACCACCCTCGAAGCTCGACTTGGCCGACCTCAAAGCGCAACCTTGCTTGATGAGCAGACCTGATTTCCTGTCAACCACCTCTCCAGGCCTGACCGAACCGCATTCCCCGTGCCCGAGCCCCAGCAAGAACATATGTGGTTACTGCCCCTCATATACTTGTCCACTTCCTATAATTTTCCATGGTCATCATCATCATCGTCATGAAACTCCATGAGCCGATACAAACAAGAACAATTCCCAAGAGAAAGAAGGAGCATCCATCATTCGCCCCCCACCGCAACGCCATGGCAAAGATTTTCTGAAGAAAAGAGTCCACCTACCTACCTACATACCTTGGTATTCGAGTAAGGACAACGGCAACAAAGCCCCCGAAAAGCCGCCGCACCCGCAAGACTTTTGTCTCTCTCTCTCTTTCTCAAGATGTCTCGGACAATGAAAGAGTACCTTAGCTTTTCTTGCCAAGAGGGCGCCTATTCCCCCTCCTATGATCGAAGAGGTGAGAAAAGCAGCAGCGCCGAGAGAAGATGAGAGAAGAGCGAGAGAACAGAGAAGAGGAAAGAGAGAGAGACAGAGCCTTTCCACGACCTACCTACCTATCTACCTACCTACCTACCTACATTCGATCTCCCTTGCTCCCACCCTCCCTTCCTGCCTCACATAGGTAGCAAGCAGAGAGAGGGGGGGGGGGGAGATCGCGTCACAATCATGTCAATTCTAGAGTCAGAGGAAATAAAAAGAAGAATATAACAAAAAAAAACAACTTACATATAGGACGGAGGTTGAGTTGAGTTGAGTTGGGCTGTGATGGTTCGTCTGAAAGGTACCTACCTACCTAATGCTTTGACTGTTAATAACTCTTTGGTATTAATATTGAAAAAAAAACTTCGCGTGAGACGGACAGACCAGACAGGACCAGAGCGATCTATCGGTATCTTAGATGTGTATGAAGGGAATGAATGGAATGAATGAATGAAATGGAAACGTATGAATTGTGAAATCGATAAAACCTCTTTTGCTTGATTCTTTCCTTTCCTTTTCCTTTTCCTGTTTATTTTATTTTATTCTATATTTCTCCCCCTTCTCTCTCTTCTTCTTTTTGGGCAATTATACGCGGCGGGAGCAAAAAAAATATATAAATAGTAGAATACCAGATTTTGCCTAAAAGCAGAATGCAACGTACCAACGCAATATTCCTTGCTTACCTAGGTAGGTAGGTATATTCCCTCGCTACTGCCTCCCTCCTTTGAGATAGAGATAGAGATTCGTCAGATGCCTGCCGATACGATTAAGAAATAGGCTCGGAGATGGAAATACCTACCTACCTGAGGTAATTAAGAGATAGAGATAGAGATAGAGATATCTACCTACTAGGTAGGCAATTGAGAAATAGATAAGGTACGGAGATAGATACGGCGCGATAGACACGGCTACTGCTCAAGCAAGGTACGATGTACTAGGTACGATTATTATCGTTATTGCCATCATCATCATCTTGATTTGTAGAGAAATGCATTTGACATTTTTCAAAAGCTCTGGTCTCCATGACCTCCCATGTGTATAATATATAGATGATAAAAAAAATGCCTCTGTCCTCATAATACCAAAGAGAATGCCACACACCTGGATCTGGGTGATGCGACCCGACCACGACAAAAGACTGACAGAAACGCTACGACGCCTCGCTTTTCTTCTGGCAATTTCAAACGACAACATAAGGGATTGATTTCAAACATTTCAGCTTGCCACTCTCATTCCACCTCTCGTCCGTAATCTCGTCCTCATCCTTCGCACCATATCATCGCTCTTTGCCGCCAAGCCCTGCTTCATCATCCCTTCCTGCATAATCTGTCTCCGCTCTCTTCTCCTCCGCTCCACGATATCTTGACTAATACTCGCAAAGCCCGCTCGTCTCTTATAACAGCAGTCCATCAAAGTGTTGATGTCCAACATCTTTCTAGGTTCACTCTGTACCACCTGAAAGATCTCCATGGGATCAGACACTCTCAGGATTTGATCCTCGCTATGCTTGAAGATCGCTAATGCGATTCGGAAGAGTGTCTTCGATCCATCGAGAAAGAGACAGTCCCAAACGCGCAGGACAGACTCAATCGGTAACGTGCCGACAAAGAGCGACATGAACCAAGCAGTCGTAGCAAGACTTACTGTGGGAAGACGGAGACCGCCGACTCCACCTGCCATGGTTGCGGCAGCTCCGATGGCGTTCAGCTCTTTTTGATCGTCGAGTTTGTTCCAAATTGCCGGAAGGGAATCTCGAATGCACGACATGAGCACTCCAATGTCGATGTTTGCGCCTTCCAGGGAAACGCCATGAGTGCTGGGCAGATGCTGAGTTGTGACGATGTTGAGGAGGATGAAAGCTTTTGTTTCGGCTTCTTCAAGATCGGAGTCATCTTTGCTGAGGAAGAGGAGCAGGAGGCCTGCGATGAAATTGAGAGACTGGCAGTAACCAACTTCTGGTCGGTGGACGGCAAAGGCTTGGAGCACTCGGCGCAAGGACTGCAAGATGGGTGTCTCGGGCTCGTCGGTATGGCGCTTCTTGTTCTTCTTCTTGGCCGCACTCTCCGGAGAGCCGGTCTCAGAGGTGTCGGCTGATGTCGCCAATGTTTCGTCCTTCAGATTGCTGCCCTCTTTCGTAGTCGTACCGCCGCCAGCACCAGCCTGTGCGTCATGCATAGTCGTGGGGTCTGGTTTGAAGCGCACGTTATCGGGAAATGTTCTGTGCAGGTCGCGCTCAATATGCTCTCGGTCGTTGTCAGTTAAAGCGCCATTGTCCACCCGGTCTGTGAGCTCTCTATAGATAAATGGGTTCTTGGCCAACTCTCGCGGACCACGTGCATAATACCACCATGCTGCACCTCGAAATTCGGGCGGGATACCTTTGCGTACATAGCGCTTAACCTTCTCGCTCTTCTGCGGGAATCGTATTGCAGGTTCCGTCTCGTAACCGTATTGATGCATCATGGCATACCATTTCTTTCTCCTCCGTTCCAGATATTGACTATAGTCCTTGTTCCAGTCATCGTACATCCTCGCGGTGACATAGTGCGAGACTTTCTTAAATCCATACCTGTCGCGGGGAGGAACATCTGGCTCGACTGTTGGAGGTCGCGAGCCGAGGCTCTGCGCAGGGACAATCTGTTCTGCTGAGCTTTCTTCTATACCAGGCTGAGCAGCCGCAAGCGGTAGGGCTGGGCTGATACCACGAAGAGAAGCCCGCTTCACACCCACGATCAAGATGCTTGCACTGTGTGAGCGACGATGTGCAGCATTCGGACGTTCTGGTGCCAGAGTGGACGCTCTCGGTTGTGAATGTGGTCTGTCGAGGGACTTGACGGATCGTCTGTCAGCGCTGGTCCTTGCTGCTACCTGAGCAGGGCGCGCTGAGCCAGGTCTCGCGTCCAGGCTTGGCCTAGTAGCACTCTGCATGCTGGGACGGGGTGAAGGTCGTAGGCTTCCAGTACCAGACTCAAAACCATCCTCATACATGCCCAGAACATCGTCAACGCTCATGTCCAGGTCTGTCAGGCCACCTTCATCATAGTCCGTCGTCCTGATCCTCACAAAGTCATTGTCAGTGGTGGAGCTCAAGCTCGTATGCGTGGTCTGCGTGGTGAGAACACTGCTGGCATTGCCGAAGCTGGAATGGCTCGTCAGTGCAGAACGAAAAGAATCTCGCACTTCGTTGTCCGGCACAGCAGGACTTGCTTTACTACTGGAATGAGTATCTGGCGTCAGAATACCTGGAGAACTGTGGGACTGTCCTGCTCGGGCCCTGCCTGATATTCTGTTCCTGATGTTCCGCAGCCCATCGCCGGCGACTTTGGTGTGTTTCAGACTCTTGGCCCTCTTTCGGATCGAGGACGAGGCCGGAGAGTCGGCATGATCTGTGCTCAGTGATTGCACAGGGCTCGAGGGCGAGCGATATCGTATTTGAGCAGCATCAGGCGGGAGTTGTGGCAGGTCTTTGGTATATGGCAGGACTTGCTGCTGGCTCTCCAGCACAGCCATTGCAGGTCTGTATGGAACCCGCTGCTCTTTGGAGAAGGCGTGTACTGAGCTGGCTTGCACTTGATCGATACACGGCACAGGCTGCACGGGGCTGGGACCAAACCCTTGCACCTGGTGGTGGTGGGTGGGCGCAAAGATGGGCTTCGGAATAGGCCCTTTCCTCGCCTGCATGCGGTTTGCAGCGGACGATTTGCGCAGTGGCAGATGTGGCTCGGGGGCAGGCATATCGCGCGGGCTGAAGGATCCCATGGTTCGAGGCTGTTCCGGGCGGTCATAGGCAGCTCCATCATCCATGGCTTCCTGGAGAGCTTCGGCCACAGACAGAGTGTGCTCTGGTTGCCATGCTCGCTGCTGGTCCTCGACCATGTGGGAGGGCATGATGCCGCTACAAACCAGTGCAGACGGGTGTGGTATAGGTTTTATGGTGTGAATGATGCACGCATCCAGCGACACTGCCGCTCCTCTGTTTCTGCTGGTGGCCTAGCAATTATTGAACGTGGTGTAACGTGGCACACGAAGGTGTAGCACAAGTCGTCGACGGGATGTCAATTCCACTACGATGGCGTCCTCCACTCGCCCTCATCTTGTTGGTTGTCGTCCCTCGAGGCCCCTCTTGTCGTCGCGCGTGTGATTGTGCGACTCTCACGTGTGAGACTGATCAGTTTGCCGTGGATACCCTTGTGCTGGTGCTGCTTGTTCTTGTTCTTGTTCTTCTTCTCCTTCTTTGTTGTTGTTGTCGTCGGCGTCGTCGTCGTCGTCTTCGTCGCCGTCTTTCTCAGCTTCCGTATTCTCTGTCGTGTCTGGCAAGGGCAAGCTCCACTCAATGTCAATCTCCCTCAAGAGGATGCCGCATGGGATCCCCGTCAGCGAGATTGTGTTCGACGTCAGCAGAGCCGGAACCTTGCGAGCATTGACACCACCACAACAAGTCAACAACAACAATGTCGCAACAACAACAACACAACAACAAACAGATGCGGCGTCCTCTTTCAGACGTGCATGGCACACTGTCCCCGCTCGATTATATATCATCTATATACGCATTCGGTCGAGCAGTCCTGCCCCTGCGTTGCACAGCATGTGCCATGTGTGCACACTACTCTAAGGGACCGGCCTTTTTCACCTGAAACTTCTATCTCCGTAGCTTGCCCACGCAAGCGATCTCATCATGACGATCTGCTGCTCTCCAGTTTGCTCGGACGAACCAGGCCGAAAGCTTAGGATACTGCTAGCCCAATACGTTGAACATTTACTGACACTCCTGAAAGCAAAACGTCTGGTGCTGAACCGCACGTCTTGGCGTCAGGCCCAACGTGGAGTGCCAAACATGTCTCACGGGCAAACGTCTACGGTACTGGACTTGAGCATCGGATCAGTGCCTCGATGTGTGTGGTGTGAGGGGCAATATCAATGATACCCGGTCGGTCATCTTGCGCACTATTAACTTCTGTTTCATAGTGAACTATTGAGACGCTCGAGCACTCTACGGTGCTGGCACAGCTTCGGAGTCGCGAGCAAAAATGGTCAGTCAAAGATCCATGGCACGTCATCGATCTCACAACCGGGACGAAGTAGGTAGGTTCCATGTTTCCGGACAGCCAGGCATTCTGCACTCATATGTGCAGTGCAGTGCAGTGCCGTACATGTATGTATCACATTGCTATGTCGTCGTGAGTCGCAATGGCCGTCTTCACAGTGTGCACGGCTTCTCTGGCAGCGCCTGCCGCGGTGCAGCCCAGTCTCGTGATGCTACGAAGAGCAAATATCCTCCATGAGCCTCCCTCAACTCGCATACTTCTTTACCCATTCCTTGGCCTGCTTCTGAAAATCCGCATTGTTGTTTTTAAAATTGTCCGCGATACTGGGCTCCACAGCGTCGTCCGGCTGTGGCTCTGACAGAGTAGCTCTCACCAAGCTCAGCACTTCCTTGATTTTGTTCGGAGGCTTCCACTCTTCTGATTTGAGCATACCCAAGCACATTGCGCCGCGCTCGTCGTTGGACACATTGGGGTGGTAAATTTTGGTGCGAAAGGACAGGGTTGGTGGTTTGAAGGGGTACTCTTTGGGGAGCGTGATGACGATGTGAAATCGGCCGCCCTGCGTGGAAGGTGACGTGTTAGCTCGTCGGCGGACGTTATAACGTTGGGTGGGCACGGGAAATGGTTGGCGGATCTCGGGCAGCCCAAGCCGCTGCTGAATGGATCTCGAGACAATGTCGAGGGACAGGGACTCACAGCGTAGAGCGAATCTGAGGGGCCCTCCATGTGCACATCCCATACATTCATATCATCTTCCTTTTGCAGTCCCACGGTGCATCCCGTGGGCGGATTGCCAGTGATTTCCTGGAATTCCTGCATCGTCCATCAGCATACAGCTTTACGCGCTCGAGACACAGATGCGGCACACCTTCATGATCCGCTTGTTCGCCATATTGGCTGAATGGTATAAGGAGCGGCGGCCTCTTTCTCTGATTGCGTGAGTTGTTCTTGTCAGACGGGGAGGGGAGGTGGGTGGGGGAAAGCAAAGGCAGCGAGGAAGGCGCGCAGACAGGTAATATATTTGAAGGAAACCTGAAAGGTGAACGGGTTCAAAAGAAAAAGGAAGGGAAGGAGAGTCTCAGGAAGGTGATTGCCTACTCTTGCACAGCCTTCTGAAGAAGCTTGGGAGGTGAAAAACCGTCCTGTGAGGAGGAGGAGTAAGGTAGGTAAGTACCTAAAAGAGCTTGGTCACTGACAGTTCTGACACTGTGACAGCACTGAGCAAGTGGACTCGGCCGCAGCGTCATCTTCAGGCACCGATACAGGAGACGAGTGTAGGAGCTAAGGAGCATGGCAGCCCGCTCGGCAGACTGCCCAATGACAAGTCGTATACGCCGACGCGTTCCCTGGCGATCACAGGAAGTAGGTGTCCAACGGTTATATATACCTTATCTAGATTCTACCCAACGTCGTTGCAGCCTTGTAGGTCAATGTTCGCCCGTTGAACAGCAGCCTCAGGCCATCATACCTGACCCTGCCTGAGGTGGTATTGTATTACACTATTACTGACAGTCGTAGCCAGGCTGTGCTGGCCGCATCATGCAACCTGTCCAGAACCAGTAATAATAACAATAATACCAGAATCTTTTTATAGGCTGGCCGCTGACAACAATCCGGTTTCCCGCCCTCGTGAGCCTTCCAGCACCAGCCACGCGCATGACTGACTGAGGGTCTGAGGCCGCATTGGGCCACTGGCGCCTAGCGACCCAGCGGAGACAGAAGGTACAGGTACAGGTAGTCAGGTACTGCATGTAGGTAAGGTACCAGGTACATACCTATATAAGAGAGATCCCCCCCGCCCTGTCTTCTCTTCCCTTTCTTCGTCACCGCTGCAGACAACGTCAAACAGGCGCGCGTACTTTACTGAACGCGTCTTGTTCCCCATGCACCGCGCGTCGATCCTCTAAACCACCCCCCTCCTTCTACCCTACCTTACACGAAACGCTCGTTACCTGATCTCTACACATCCGAATCCCCCATCGCTCGTTTGGAGACCAGTCAAGCACAAAGTGAAGGACGCGCGCTATCGATCACCCGCCCGGCCCACAATGTTCGGCTTCAAGAGATCCTTCGTCTCGAAGGAGCAGCGCACTGGCAAGCCGAGGAAGATCTCCAAGCGTTCCTTCAACGACGACGTCAAGCAGAGACTCCGCGAGAAGATCAACGATGCTGCAACTCCCGACACATCGCCTTCGATAGGTTCGGTGGCGTCGCCGAAGCTCAATTCTGCCATCGTCACGATAGTAGTGGGCAAGGACCAGCGTCTCTTCGCCGCGCATGAAGATGTGCTGTCGCGCTCGCCGTGGTTCGCCGAGGCGTGTCGTGACCAATTCTTTGAATCTCCTGGCCAGCGACGAGTCTCTCTGCCAGACGAGGAGCCAGAGGCCTTTTCGGCCGTCCTCGAATACCTGTACAAGGGCGACTACTATCCTCGACTTGTCCACGATAGGAAGAGAAATACATGGTCGCTCGAGGACACGGAAGACCTGACCAACCCAACAACGTCCATGTCTCCCCGCGTGGACAATACCGACCCCAAGAAACCATGGAGTCTGAATGAGTCCGCTTCAATTTACCATCACGGCGTGGGCGACTACGTCCTCCGAGACACAGTCGTCTACTGCACTGCACTGAAGCTGGGTCTGCCAGAACTGCAGCGCCTCGCTCTTCGAAAGCAAGGCCTGCAGTCTGGTATCGATGTGGCTACCCTTTTGCGCAGCGCCAAATTTGCATATGCGAATACGCCTCCCAGCGACTCCCGTCTCCGCGCTCATTACCTCGCACTCATCATCCGCAGCCGCAAGACGTTCAAGCGTAGCGGCACAATGCAGTTGGAGATGGAGAAGGGCGGCACGCAGATGTTCTTCGACCTGTTTGTTGCAATGTCGAATCACATTGATGATGTCGTGGAATTGGGGTCAGTCCAACCTTCTCACTGTTCGCCTCGTTGACCACTCTTCTCCCTGCTGTGTGTAGTGTACACCTCGGTATCGTGAGGCATTGAGCGTGGTCGGCGCTGAGGCAGCACCTTTTCGATCGAACACTCAGAGCCACATTACTAACCATTTTGGTGCCAACAGCAACGCCCGGTCTCCCGATCTCAATAAGTGAATTGATGTCTGCAGAGCATAAGCAGGCTCGATGCAACTCGAACGCATCAAAATACGAAGTCAACTCTCAACTCATCCAAGTTAAAATCCACAAAAACAACAAGACTGCCTGTTCGACTCACCCCGCTCACTGGATGACATGGCGTTGCACTGGATTTTTCACGAACACGAGCTGAATCAGTCTGATTCTAACACCTCCACGGTGCAGAAACAGCTTCAACTCTCCCACTCATGGAACACCATGACTAATGTTTTGTCTACATCCTCAAGGCACACTCTTTTTGGTTTTGCGGATGCTGCTGATTTGGGGAGCTGAGAAGCACACTCAACTCTGATGACGGAAGAGAATAAGACTGGACAATATCTGTGGTCCGTCACAGAAGTGAAGACCGAAAAAAAAACCCCTTTTCTTTTGTCAGTTGCTCTCTGGACATGGGATGATTCTACTCGGCCTTTTGGTGACAGACTGAAAAAGGGTGGACTTCCAACATGCCCGTCAGGCGACTGCCTTCGCCCATTTTCCCATTTTACTTTGTTATTGTGTTTTGATTTCTCTTCTCATCCCACAGAATGGACCACCAATTCCGTCGCACCCGCACCAGATGCGCTTGACGACGAAGGCGACTGCTTCGTTGATATCAGTCAGTAGAGTCGCGGTACAGAAACAAAGATTGGCACGACGCTAGTTTGGAGAATGTTCTGTTGCGGAGGGGACTGCGGATGGTCCTGAATAGTGTGTAGGTAGTAAGCGAATCGAGAGACGTCGGCCACCATTCTCCTTGTATCACGTTTCTCTGCTGTGCAAGTCTTGTCGTAATGCAGCATCTTCTACCCTGCCTAGCAATTGACACCGATTCTCACCAAGGGCAGTTCCTGTTAGGAGGAGAGCCACTCCAAGGACCAGACGAATGATCTAGCAGCGCGGTCCTCCACTTGCAGCGTAGGAAGTTTGAACAGGACTAATTTTCTGTGTGAATACGCCTAGGTATGTAATCATGGACATCTCTGCAAACGACGTCAGCCTCTGCACACACAGCGATGTATTGACGTTGATGGCATTTTGAAAAAGGATGCAGTTTCAGAGTGTGAATACGTTCTCAACAGTAATCTTCAGACAGGGATAACTGTAATTGATATGATCTTTCATCATTGCAAGAGAGGGCTCGGCCGGATTGTTCTGTGTTGGACGGGAGGACTGAGACTTACAATATTGCAGGGCCATGTGGACTTCTGGCAGTTAACTGGTATGATTCCGGAGGGGGTAGGAAACCTAAGATGATGTGGGTCAACACGATGTGACCTGCACATCTGGACGAGGCGTAGGTGAGAATCGCTCGAAGCCGAGACGTAGGTACAGGACGCTATGATGGAAACTATGTCTAAACACACGAATTAGTATACGTGAATAAGCAGTGTTGTCCGAACATGCATGTGTGCGCAGTAAGATTTCAAATCAGACTGTTGAGCTTGAATTCTTTTTATAATACTTCATCGACGAGCTCAGAAGTTATCGTTTGAAGTGAAAATCATCATATGAAGGAGTGCTAGTGGAGGGAGAGCAAGAGAGAGAGAGAGAGAGACAACGTACCAGGTCTGTTTGCTGTGAGCCCCGTATGCAAGTCAGTAACATCATGTTATGCTCCATCACGGCCCGGCTGATATGGTTGTTGTTGCTGTGATATCGCCCGAGTGTTATTTCCACCCGCGATGTACCTGTAGGTAGCTTCGATCCACGGCAGCCCGATCATCTTGGACACATCGCGCTTATCATGCTCGGCGATCCGCTGAGACTCCAGACTGGCTGCACGCGCCTTCAGAGGCCGTGGTGCATGTCGGAAAGATGATGCGGTCGGTGTTGTGGAAGGGAAGGTGAAACGACAAAGGTGGAAGATTTTACCGCTTCCTTTATGTGGGCCGGAGAAGGAGGAGCTAAGCGGGAAAGCCAAGATCGGCAAAAGTGCAGGTACGACAGGACACAGCTCGTCATATCCCGTCTCGTCAGCTGTTCATATGCCAGACCGCATGGAAGCAAGGGACATGAGAACAACCTCTTTGAAGTGAAAAAGACATACTGTGACATTACACCAACGCCGCTACCACCACAAAACCACTGAAACCGGGCATTCTCCAGTCATACCATCATCTTGAGTCACTCTCTCGGTTGTGTCCAAGCATGGGTGGTGCTCTCTCTCTCTTCTCCAAACTCATCTGGACCAAAAAAGAGATTCGAATCCTCATTCTCGGCCTCGACAACGCCGGCAAAACCACCCTCCTCTACCGTCTCAAAATCGGCGAAGTGGTCACGACAATACCGACCATCGGCTTCAACGTCGAATCCGTCACCTACAAGAACCTCAACTTTAATGTCTGGGATTTGGGAGGACAAACCAGTATACGACCGTACTGGAGATGCTATTACAGTAATACTGCCGCGGTCGTCTTCGTGATTGACTCGTGCGATACGGAACGATTGGGTACTGCGGGGGAGGAGCTGCGGGCCATGTTGCAAGAGGAGGAGTTGCGAGATGCGAGTTTGTTGGTCTTTGCGAATAAACAGGACAGTCCGGGCGCCAAGGGCGCAGGGGAGATTAGTGAGGTGCTCCGGTTGGGAGAGTTGAAAGACCGCAACTGGAGTATTATGGCGTGTTCGGCCGTCACGGGAGCGGGTGTGAATGAGGGGATGGATTGGCTAGTGGTAAGTTCGCGATCAAGAGTGCCGAGAGGGAGAACACCGGACAGCGTTACTGACTCCGTAACAGCAAACGGTGGGCGATAATGCGTAATCAGAGATTTCGAACATGGACATGGGTTCTTTTTGGAGCGTTGGGATCTGCACTCAATTGCATAGCATGGCGTTTCGGTGCACAATGAGCAGATGGGAGTAAGCATCGTCGTGAAGGCATGCGGAGAAAGACGGCAGCGCACTTGAGGCAAGTTTGTCAATCAAGATACTGAGGAATTCGCCAGCTCATGGGAAGTGTGAAAAGAGAAGGCGGCATCCGACTGTGATATGTAAGGTATATATTGGTATTGCTGACAGCGTAGTGCCAAACACTGTGCTGCATATCTTGATCTCGTAGTACAGCACTCCGTCCGATAGGTACCTACCTGGTAGCTTTCAAATTTTGACATAATAGGAACCTAAGGTAATGATTTGGATGTTTCGGGAATATTCAATAGATGGCAATCGGAAGGAAGATGGAAGGGTTGAGTCTAGTTGCTGAGAATCCAGTGTAGACGGACGAATACAGGCAGTAAATAAGGTACCTACAGGTAAGGTAAAGCAAGGTAAGGTACATGGGTACATGTACCTACACGCGCCAACATCATCTCTCCGCTGTGACGCTCGCTGTCCGAGCCGTGGGAGGTCGAGGCAGCGAGACGGACGGATTGCATGATGAGCAGGCAATATTTGCGAGTGGGGCGGGAGTTTTCGGCTGGAGGAGACGATAGCACAGGCGTGGTTAGGTCAGCTAGGTAAGTTCTGTTATAGATTGCGTGATATGGGTATCGCAACTTGCTTGTATGTGTACAGCATCAAAAAACGTTCACTCATGTCATGACATGGTCGGAATCGGCCACTCCCGTCTACAAGCGCGCACGCTCGAGTCCTGTCCAGCCATGCTGCTGAGCAATCATCTCCGCACATCGCTCACCAATCGCGAGGACTGTCAGCATCGGGTTGATGGAGGGCATCTCGGGGAAGACACCCGCGTCCGCAATTCGGACGCCTTGTAGTCCACGAATCTTCAATTCCGGATCCACGACTGCCATGTGGTTGGTCTTGACATCGCCCATCTTCGTGGTACCTGCGGGATGGTAGACGGTGTGTGCAACACGTCGTCCGTACTCGCTCAGGTCTTCATCAGACTGGATCGCGGGCCCCGGCGCGATTTCGCGCTTGAGCCAGTCTTTGAATGGAGCGTGTTCGGCGATTTTGCGCGCAGCCTTGAGGCCTTCGACGATGGTTGCTGCATCGTACCCTTCTGGGTCAGAGAAGTAACGGAAGTCCAGAGCGGGCTTCACGCTGGGATCCTTGCTTGTGAGATAGAGCTTGCCACGCGATCGTGGGCGTGGAATATTTGGTGTCACACAGAAAGCCTCCTTGGGCACGTCGTAGCCCAGACGCTCGGTATTATAGGAGAATGGGACTTGGTAGCAATGTGCCATGATGTCGATGATATCGCCATCATTCCCTGCCGCATTCTTCACTTCCCGGCGAATGAAGATGGCCGCATCGGAGTCCATGACGGTCATCTCGTGATCGACAGGCTTGTTCAATTCCCACATGATGATGGACTCCGGGTGATCGAGCAGGTTCTCGCCCACACCCGGGAGATCCTTGACCACCTCAATGCCGAGGTCTGCTAGTTGTTGCTTGGGACCCAAGCCAGAGAGCATGAGCAGGCGCGGTGTGTCGACCGCGCCCGCACTAAGGATGGTCTCGTGCTTTGCAGTGAGGGTGTGTTTGGTGCCGTCCTTTTGCGTAATGTTCACACCGCACACCTTGGTGCCCTGCACATTCACCTTGCTCACCCACGCATTGGTCAAGATGGTCAAGTTCGGTCTCCTCTCGTCTCCTCGCAGGATCGGGTGGATGTATGCCACGCTGGCACTGCTGCGTCTGCCATCGTCGGGGTTGTATGAAACGGACAAGAAACCAATGCCAGGGTGGAGGGCGCCCGTCGAGCGGATCTCCTTGTTATAGTCGTGAACGACGGGGATGCCCAAGGCCTTGGAGCCTGTCTCGACCCAATCATTGGTCAGCTGGTTCCGATGCCGTTCGTGCACTGGCTGCACCGTGTTGCGAATGTTGTCCAAAATCCTCGTGAATGTCTTGAAGTCCCAGCCCGTGCATCCTTGTGAGACCCAGCGCTTGCAATCGTACTCGAAGGGGCGGAAGCTGATCAAGGTGTTGTGGCTCGAGCAGCCGCCCAAGACTTTGGCTCTCGAGTGGCGGATGTGGGAGTTGCCGTGTGGCTGTTCGGTGGTGGGGTAGTCGTAGTCGAGCTCGCCGCCCAGCAAGTTGAGCCAGTCCTTTAGCAGCAGCACGCGATCGTCCATGAAGTCGGAAGGTCCGGCCTCGATCAGCAGAACTTTTTTATCCGGCAGGTATTCGGACAGCCGCGACGCGACCACGCATCCGGCCGTGCCACCGCCGACGATGATAAAGTCATAGCTGTTCACGTCCTGAGCATTCAGCTCGTTGGTCGTGCCGCTTGCACTCATATTGGGGAGTCGGTGGGGATGGGCGAAGGTGTGGTGGTATTGTAGGCTCGACTCTGTTTTTTTTGCCGGGAGCGAGAGAGGGTGGGTGGTGACAAGATGCACTCACAGGCACATACAGGCGAGAAGGGACTAATTCGTCAAGAATGAGGCAGAAGATGGAGAGGGAGACAGAAGAGTGGTGGCCTCAGAGGAGGATGAGAAGGAAGTCGAGGAGGAGGGAAGAATAAATGGAAAATGGCACGAGCCAGACAGCTCCACCAGCAGCCCACATGCTGCTCTGCCAACTGCTCTGCTATCAATGTCCTGGTCGCCGCCGCGCTCGCAGAGAATAAGGTAGCGGCCGCCCGCCCGCGGTGAGACGCGGCTGCGCAAGAGCCACAACCTCGTGTCCCACCCAGACCATCATAGGGAATTAGGGATGGCGGATGGATGTCGGCGAGAAGATGAACTGCTGGGACTTCCTGGGTATAGCGTCAATCCACGACGTCACTTATCGTGTCCATCCATGAATTTTTCGCGACTGTGCGGACTCCTTGTGATTGGATAGACACGCTGCCAATGCCCATGGCTAAGATAGCACTAGAAGACCTAGAAGCCCTACTAGTTCTAGTGCACGCAGCCGGACTTTTGTGATCGCCACCAAACTGCACTTCACCTCCACTTGTGGTGCCGTCGTCAGCCCAGCCTCGCCAGTCGCTTACAGCTTCCGCCGCTATTGTGATCTGTGAGCCAGGCCTGCTTCTCTGCCGCATCATGTTCTAGAGGTCGACGGCTTCATTTATCCTGCTGCGCTGCACTCCCCGACCGCCGACGGGAGCCTCTGCACATTCAATAAGGTACCCATCACCCATATTCACCCTCCAGCACCACTATGGCGCCTTACGAACAGCAACCCCTCTACTATGGAGGCCAACGACACACCACGCGAGACACATTTCAGACCATTGACCCTTCCTCTGGACGACCCATTGCCGACATATGCAAAGCAGACAAGTCATCCGTGGATGCCGCCATCAAGTCTGCCAAGAATGCTTTTCCGAAATGGTCCGCAATGTCACCCATGGAACGATCGCGCATCCTATTACGAGCGGTAGCACTGCTCAGAGAGCGAAATGATGATCTGGCAAAGATCGAGACTCACGATACGGGAAAGGCCTTTTCCGAAACCAGCGTGGTCGATGTGGTCACGGGCGCAGATGTGCTGGAGTACTATGCGAATTTGATTGCTTCTGGAGGTTTGAACGGCGAAACCACTCAGCTACGGCCAGACGCCTGGATTTATACGACAAAAGCGCCCCTGGGAGTATGTGCGGGAATTGGAGCATGGAACTATCCCATTCAGATAGCGTTGTGGAAGTCCGCGCCATGTCTCGCTGCTGGGAACTGCATGGTCTACAAACCATCTGAATTCACTCCACTACATGCCCTGAAGCTGGCGGAGATCTATACGGAAGCTGGAGTACCCCCGGGAGTCTTCAGTGTTGTACAAGGCGCCGGTGACGTGGGAGCCATGCTGTCGGGCCATCCCGACATCAAGAAAGTGTCCTTTACTGGACAAGTCAGCACAGGCATGAAAGTTGCCGGGGCAGCTGCAGGAGGCATGAAGTATGTGACCATGGAGCTCGGCGGAAAATCACCATGCATAATTCTGCCTGACGCGGGTGTGGATGATGCTGTCAATGGTGCTATGATGGCCAACTTTTTCTCCACCGGCCAGGTCTGCACGAATGGCACACGTGTGTTTGTGCCCAGATCCATGAAGAGCAAGTTCGAAACATTGCTCATCAGTCAAATGGACAATGTGCGAGCGGGAGACGTCTTCGACCCCAACACGAATTTCGGACCACTAGTCAGCGAAACGCACTATAAGAAGGTCAATCAATACATCAAACATGCCATTGACACCGACAAGGCGAAGCTCCTCTATGGTGGCCCGGGCAAGCCCACTGGCGCGTCTGGAGATGGCTACTGGGTCAAGCCTACGGTCTTCACAGATTGCACAGACGACATGCTCATCGCGACGGACGAGATATTTGGTCCCGTGATGTGCATCCTACCATATGACGACTCTGCTAACGACTGGCTCGACACTCTGATTGCTCGTGCCAACAACACCAGTATGGGTCTGGCGGCGGGTGTCTTCACCAAGAACATCGATCTCGGTCACAAGGTGGTTGCCCAGATCGAGGCGGGCATCACGTGGGTCAACACTTGGGGAGAATCCCCTGCGGAGATGCCAGTCGGTGGTTGGAAGTTGAGTGGCCTAGGTGTGGAGAATGGTCGGAGAGGGCTTGACAACTGGGTACAAAATAAGAGCACTCTGGTGGAGATGGGAGGAAGCGTCCCTGTGGCCTTTGCGAAGTTGTAGAAACCATCACAATTGCGCATATACACTTGCACGAATGATGGACCCCACGAGAGCTGTCTGTACCTTCCTCTACATAGATAGAGCTTTGCTGTGATATCCCAATATACCCAAACAAAGTAACCAACCAACTTCCTACAAGATAGCGCAAAAGGACTACCTACCTACCCATCGTCAGTCACCTCAGGTATTCTGGTCAAAGATTAACAAAAAAAAGGTCAAAAGAAGAAACTGCTTACAAGAGCATCTAACTCAAGAAAGACGAGGCGATCTCATTGGACCAGTTGGGGATCGAACCCAAGACCTCACGCAGCAATTTGGATGGGTCTGCGCCCTGTCCCTTGCAAAGCGTGCGCGCTACCACTGTGCTACAAGCCCGGGATGAGTCATTATGCACTCATTTTTGTATATCATCAGCTGACATTGAACGGTACGTGATGGAGGTAGGAGGTAGCCACGTCTATGAGCAGAACAATCTCGTCAAGTTCACACTCTTACAGACAAACACAAAAGATTTTCAACCTTCAAAGTCCTCAAACAAGCGTGCTGGCGCCTTTGATCTCTGGTTGGCTATAAAGGACTCTGCTGATTCGCATCCAAACCCTTACCTATCCGTCTATAATCGCGAGAGATATGATTGAATGGGTGCGTTTGGAATGCGCTGTTTCATTATTTTACGCTTCACTGAATTCTGCCGTTTTGTGGGGTCGCAGACCTCATCTGTGTGAGCAGCGCCAGCCGACACTGGTGTCTACCTTAGGAGGTACGCTTGTTCCCTCGCTTTAGTAATTCTAGACAAGTGGACAACTGGAGCGTTCACTTTCCACATTTCGTAAAACTGCAGAGGTTGCCATTGCACGCTTAGGAATGATATCTGTACCACGAAAATCGAAATCCCAGTTTCTCGGGATCGTTGGCGGAAAGCAGGTCGAGAAGCCCCTGCCTTTCCAAACTCTCACAGAATGCCTTGTTTGTCAGGAATTCTTTGGTCAGATCGCCGCCACTCATGTTCCCGCTGGAGTCAAACTGCTGTTGGCCATTTGCCATTTCCTGGGTGATTGCCGCCGATTTGCAACCCAGCAGAAGGGCAGCAGTGTCAGTTGCCAATTCTGCGATCGTAGGATATTTGTTGTGCCAACATTTGTCGATGATGGAGTCGATGGACGAGTCGCCAGTCAGTTTTGGGAGTTCCATGTGCTGCAGTAGATGGACTATCATGGGTCCACGCTCTCGATGGTCCTCGGTCAGCGTCTGATCCCCATAGACCTCGAAACCGTAATTGATCAAATAGTATATCGAACCGAGAGCGAATTGCTCTGTTCGAGGGCCGAGACAGCCGGAAGATCCGCAATTTCCGTATTCTGCCTCGCTGCTGTTGAGGATTCTCCCGTATGGAGGCATGCAAGCTTCGAATTGTGCTCCAATTTCTGCTGTGCAATCAAAGTCAGAGAGCTTCAATCGGTCACCGTCAAGGAGGATATTCTCGGGTCGAAGATCTCCGTGCGCGAGATTGAGGGATTCAAGGAACGCAACAGCCTGAGTGAGATCGTGCATCCATTGCTTTCGAAGGGCAAGGGGTTCTAGCTTCTTGACACTAAGAACCACCTCATGTCGATCGTCCCTAATCTGGTGATCTTGCATTCTGGAGTGGAGGGATATATCTGGTGAGGTAGTCAGTAAGGCCCACTATCTGAATATTGCGGAAGGTCGTGCCCCGCATGTATTCGAGAAATATGCCCTTATCCGCCTTGTAGAAGCATTGTACCAGGAAAGCACACGGAGGAGAACGGGAGAGTATATTATATATGTCGAGCTCTTTCTGAAATTGCTCTCTCTCGAATTCCCCTGATTTTGGGACCTTCACCACAATACGAGGATGAACCTCAAACACATAGGAGATACCTCCTTTCCAGATCCAGTGCACATCTGGGAACTTGTCTTGGTAGCGCATTTCAGCAACAGAGTCTGACAGGAAGCAGGTATAGTTGATCAACGTTAGATTGTACAATGGAGACGTAGGTAGAGTACATGTAAGGAGGTAGGTATGTAGTGGAAATGTGGAGAAGAGAACCCACATGCAACTTCGCCAAGCATTCTAGTCCCAATCACTCCGACGACAGTGCATGATTTGTTTAATCGTTGCTCCACCCGGTGCAACAGATTTGTTTGACGCCCGCCCATTGATGGGAGCTTGGTGCGATGAAAATAATCGTAGTCGTATGGCATGAGAAGGATGTCATCACGTTCTCGTGCGCGCTTACAGATTCTCTATAGATGCATGACCTCCAATCGTTACACGTACCAATTTGTGCGGCTCCTTCATCGCAAAATCCTGCTATTGAAAATAGCCTTGTCCGATAATTCCGACCACGCAACTTCGACCCAGCACGGAAACTGCGAATATCTGTTACTAGATGATATCCTGATAAGTACATAATTCAGAACCTACAAATGTGATTTGGGGATGACAGTTCCCCGACTTGCAGACGGAGGCTATATAGGTCGCTTTGCCATCTTTGACAAAGGCTACACCATTGACAGAGCCCCTATTCGGCTCGATCGACTCCCAGTCAGCTACTGACTGCCGCTGCGATCGCTAGCATCGACGTCAGACACCGCCGTTCGAGGGTGGAGTCGTAGATAGAATTCGGTTGATAGGGAGTGCACAGCTCTGGAATGCCGCCTGCAAAGACGAATGCGCCTTCTCCAGATCATACGTCCCTACGCCAGTAATGAAATTTCGAGGCTCTAGCCCGCAATCCTCTGCTGCAGCGATATCCGCATGCGCCAAGGAAAGATAGGCAGTTGTGCGGAGTTTCAGTATGTAACCCTTGTAGTAGTTGGTTCCCGCGAACGACGAGTAAGTATTCGCCAAGCGCAGAGCTTCCATGGAGCGCCTCAGAACTCGGTCCCATTTGTTTCCATACATTGCAATGCGCATTGAAGCGATTACTGCACGTACGTGATCAAGCTGTTCAGTTTGAGTAGTCGGTGGTTTTCTTCCAAACCCCTGGTCTATCTCGTCTAGCAGAGCCTGCGCATTTTTGTGGTCGCCAGTTGCTATGTCCACATCAACCTTGGAGAGTAACAGCCGGCTGTATGGCCGCGAGCTCTGCTTGCCTTGCTCGCGAAGTTGGCCGAGGTAGTGGTCCAAAAGAGTCTTCGCCTGTTCGTATTCCCGAAGCTCAACATACACGTCCGCAAGCTGTCGCACAATGTGGTGTACGTTGGTCATGGATGATTGGCGACGCCGATTTAGACAAGGCCGTAAGGCCTCTTCGGCCTTCTCAAACTGAGCTGTATATCGGTATATCCGGCCCATGGCAATCCACTTCTCTTCCAATAAGTGCCATACTAAGGCGGTTTTCTGGAGATGCTCTGCGGGTGCAACGGTCAATTCGATGGCATCAACCCATTCCATTGCAGTCGAGTATTGATTCCGAAGTATGGCGTTTTCGGCCAGCGAAAGGTACAGAAGGCCCCTGAAGCAGGCCGTACGGACATCTTCCAATGGAAACGTGCGGATGGCCAGATTTATTACTTCGTCGGATTCGACGTACTGCTCTATTCTTCGCAGGATGACACTTTGCGTTCTTGCCAAAGCTAACTGGAGGTACGACGGTACGCCACTTTTATGCAGCTGTCCTCCAACTTTGAGAAGTTCGAGCATATCCGGCGAAGGTCTGAAGTTGTATGCTTTTACTGTCGCAATCCAGGTCTCAATCAAGTCGTGTCGCAATTCATCGTCGATGCAGACTCCGCTCTGGTAATGTAGGTATTGGAACATACTCTGCAAAGCTGGCAGAAGCTGTTCCATAATAATGGTAAATCTATGACTGTTAGCACAATCCACATAGACCAAAAGGCATTCATACTTCGGATCTAGAGCCTCTTCCCGTGGGCAGATGTAGCACAATAGAGCAAAGCTGTCGCGGATGTACTGGTCAGAGTCGGGTGAACCGAATTCGTCACCAGTCCCACGGTATGTCCACTCTAGCTGCTCCAGCTGCCGCTCCAACAAGCCATGCTTCACAGCTGATCCCAACAGGGACATCAGGTTGTCGCGGTCTAGAAAGAGAGAAGCACTTTCGTTGCTCATAGCTGTATGCTCCAGACACACTGCTGTAATATGGCCGTCGGCACTCCAGCGTCGCTGTGGTTCAGTAGCTCGTAGCAGCAGGGTTTCGCCGAAAGAGGAGACTCTGAGGTTGCATATCACATGCTTGAGAAGCTTGAGCTTTGGCTCAGCAGCAGAGTCCGCAAAAGTCTGTCGCTCTACGCCATCCTTATCAATTCTGACCTGTACGAGCGGTAGCTGCGTTTGACAGTCGTGCGTTCCAAGATCAGGAAGTGTTACATCAACCCAGCCGACAAGATCTACGTCTGCATCTGCGCCAGCATACTTGTCACGGGGAGGGTCTTGGCGCTGCGCTGCGGCTTGCGCAAGCAGGTTCAGAGCCCTCGACTGGTCAGTAGTCACCGCCTCCCTTTGTGCATCCCTCCACTGCTGGAATTTCGAGTTTCCACCGTATGCTTTAAGGCCTTCTTCAAATGCCTGTCGTGCGGCGCCATCCAGTCGTACACACTTCGTGTAGAGGTCAGGCATGTTGGCCTCGATGCATCTGACGTAGACCTCTACATCTTGCTCTGATAAGACTTTCTCGAAGCTACAACTGTTAGAAGATGCACAAATACTGCGACCATCGCAGCTTACGCGTTGTTCGTTTCGCTGCCCAGGAGTAGAAGGAGTCCCGGCCTCAAGTTCCATATCTGTTCGAATGCTCGGGCACGTTTCTTCCAGGACAGAACTCGTTGCCTTGGTTTGACACACATGTGGTGTAGTTCTTCCGCCATCGAGTTGAGTGCAGCAGCAGCACCCTTCTGCGGCCAAGGCCCGCTCTCACGCGCTCGTAGTTTCAGTTCGATCCTTATATAGAGCAAGGCAAACCGGTGAGCGCATTCCAGTCCGCGAGCATTACCGTCGATGGTGTCCAGTCCTCGTGCTAGGCACTGAATGGCAGGTTCCTCTCTAGTACCACGTTGAAATATCGCTTGCTTTGGAGACCAAATAACATCTGGATTACATTCGACTGCCTCGTGCGCGTTCTTGATGAGTTTGATCAATATGTTCCGTTTTGACTCGGCCACCAGATACTGCCATGCGGGTTGAAACGTCGGGTCGCGCACAAACTGTGGAGGGCGTTCAGATCTGTCGTTTTGAAAAATTTGCTTGAGCCGCGTCCGTTGAACAGGTGTCGCTCTCACAAACAGACGCATTAGTTTCGCCTGGATATCCTTTTGTCGTGTCAGCAAGGACGCCTCTAGTTCTACCAAGTGATGCAACGACTGACTGTATCTCGTAGGAATTCATCAACAGTTAGATGATCCATCTTCATCGTATACCACCTTACTGTTAGTGTGATGAAGGAAAGGAGGTTTGGCAGCCGGGGAAGTGGAATAGACCTGAGTCCCGAGGACCTGTACGGGTCCGCGATTACCTAATAATCTAGCCCCAGCCATCCGTCCTACCTCTATACAGTGACCGATAGCTGCGTGCCAGGTCGCGACTGTTATCTGCCATCTCAGAGTGTTGAAACCATGTACATGGGTGGCATGTTATCAGGTGACATGGGTTAATTGGTACAGAACGACCTCCAAACCTTCCGAAGCGCATATAGCTGTATATAGCTAGAAATTCCAGAGAGCGCACGCTCTAACTGGTACGATCTTTTGGGGTAGAGCGCGCTAAATCCACTAAATCCAATGCGTTACCACCTCAAAAAAAGCCCGCCGCAGGCACCTACCTACCTACCCACCTACCTATCTGTCCCTACAGGCTACCTTGCCTAAAATTCAGAAGAGAAGGATAAGAAGAAGAGAAGCCTAAGGACAAGGACAAGGGTAAGGAGGAGCAGGAGGAGGAAGAGGAGATGGAGATGGAGATGGAGATAGAGGAGGAGGAGATACCTAGGAAGAAGAGGAAGCAGGCCCAAGAAGAAGAAGCCTAAGAACAAGCCCAAGAAGAGGTCAAGAAGAAGCTCAAGAAGAAGCCTAAGAAGAAGCCAAAGAAGAAGCCCAAGAAAAAACCTAAGAAGAAACCCAAGAAAGAAGAAGAATACACGCGCGTCTGCGCGCGTGTGAAAATTGAGATTGGCACCCATTCCGTACTACCAACGGGCAGGCCCGTAGGACATATTATTGGTCACATGGGCAAGGTGTTCTTCTCGGCGCTGTATGTACAGTAGAGGTGTGGGTGGCCACCCCCATCTTTTCCTTCCTGATAGGATATATCACTGCTCCATTGGGCGATAGTGTGGTGTGTGGTTCAAAGTTCAACGCACTCTCCCTTACCTGGTAAGCATAGGAGGCAGTGCAACAGTCAAGCTATCACTCTGCTCTCTCTCTGCACTCAGCACGGCTCCTCAACTGCTGTCTCTAATGCTTACTAGTTGACACATTGGCGAGGGAGCTAGTGCGAGGTTGGATGAAGCGAGATGCTGTCGATATAGATAGAGGCACGGTTTTCTGGACTCGTCTGGTCAGATGGAATACTTATTCGCCAGTCGTGCCCAATTTCCTCCATCTCAACCCTACGACTGCGTACTACAACAGCAGCTTCCTTCTCCCTTACTAATTACATGGAACTTGAAGGCCAACTCGGCTGTGCACCGAGAAATAGCGTACAGCACCATGGACTCCCTTACTATCCACCGTATTGCCAGCAGCATCTACAGTGCATGCAGCCAACAGCAATGAGTCAGCACCATCAGTATCCAGGCCCGCCACCCGGACAGCCGATATACGGCGCACCGCCAAACCACGAACAAGCGACAGGCCCCATACTTAGGCCTCAGCGAAAGCGAACGCGCGCGACCCAAGTCTGTTTAGTCAGAATTTCTCCAACATACGTTGCTAATGTGCTTCAGGCTTGCGAAGAATGCAGAGTACGGAAACAGAAATGTGACGAAGGCTCTCCGTGCTCGTTCTGTAACGCGAACAGCCTATCGTGTCACTATCGCGACACGCCGCCTACCAAGTACGGTCATGTTCCATCTGCATCTTCATTCCATTCTGACCCTGTATTAGGATCGACAAGATTATGGAAAAGCTCCTGAGTTATATGCAGTCCCACTCGCAACATCTTGAAGCATTGACTGTGAAGATCGACAGTCTTGAAGAACGCCTGCGTCCCGGCAAACAAAACAGTCGACACTCTGAACAGCAGCGGAACTATGTGAATCATCCAGGAGGTGCTGAAGCCGAGAAGAAAAAAATCACCGAAGACATTCCTCGGCGGCTCCGAGAACCTGAACGGGACGGTCATCGGACTGCGCCGCATAAGTTGCTTCTACTTTGGCCGAACGTCCATTCGCTCTTGCGAACCGCGGGTGTGGAACATCATCAAGACGATGTGAAGGAGGCTGAGGACCGCGACCTCCTTCGATCATGGACTCGAGGCGAAGGCGGCATTGACGAGCACGACGGCACGGAACCTGGCGGCCCAGCCAGTCCAGCTCGTGGAGACGAGAGCAGCGAGGCTGGACATACCGGAAGTCCGCGTGCTAGCGGCCTCTGGGGTGTCGGATGCCCATCCATACCGTACAGCGACTTTCGACAGTCAGAACCCTACGGCACTGGTGGACTCTGCGCAAATAACGAAGTCAATCTGGATATCAACACTATCAACCATCTGTATTGCAGCTACTGTGGTGGCGAGATAACCGTACTATGCCGCAAATCTCCCTTGGAGAGATGGAATCCCTGAATGGAATACACTCAATTCAGTACTAGAAACCCGGAATCTACTTCTGATATTATTACACCTTTTAATATACTATTGGTTTTATATCGCTACTGTCAACGATACCAAGTCTTTGTACGAGACTTCCAGTGGAGAGTATCGTACGAAAAATGAGCATAGGTGGCTTTTAGCGCGGTCATGGAATACAATGAACTTGTAGCCAATGAATATTTAAAAAAGAGCCGCCTGGCACAGGTCAATCGATCACAACTTGCTTCCATACCATTTCCTGAGAAAGGTAGACAGCGACCACACTTAGCCTACACACACTCAGCCAGGAATCCGACTTACGCTCAACCTCAAAGATGGCCGCGAATCTCCAAACCATCAAAAGCGCGAGATGATGTTGTCATGGTGGATATGGATGAGGTGGAACTGGTCACATGGTGGTCGGCAAGGTGCCAGTTTCTCGCGACTTAGGCGCTCAATGGATATACATGGTGTAGCTATCATATCCCCCCGCTTGGCGGCATTCTGGCTCATATCATTCCGCGAACAAAGGCAAACCCCTGGCGAAGAGCACCTCAGAAATGTTGATGCAAAAGGTGATCAAACAGTTTCAATTCGCAGGCTGTCGCGGCTCGATCTGACAAATGACAATGCGCTCCGCTATCAGGGTACGAGTGTATAGGCAGGGCTTAAAGTCAAGGCTTCGTACAAAGCAATGGTTGAGACTTGGAGCCCGCCTGCTCCTGCTTCTCGAGTAGACTCGCACTGAGAGAGGTATTGATATGCAAATGAATTGATTGATCGTTCTCGGTAATTCTTACTAGTACCTGTTTACTTCTGCCCTCGATCACGATCCCTTCTCGGTTTCTTGAACACTCCTCCGTCCAATGAAGTGCTCGGGGTGCCAGACGGATTGTCGACAGCGCTTGAATGTGTGTCTTGTGCCTGTACTGATCTGGAGTCTACGCTTGACGAGGCAATACTGTGTGCGCTGACGTCCTGCGATAGTCCCGATTGCTCCGTAAAATGAAGGTCCGACCCTGACAATGCAAAGCTTACGTCTGCGGGAATGTCATCGATGGCCGAGCAGATCCTCTGGAAGTGTACCGGCATCCAGCTATTATATATGCTCTTTGTGAACTTGTATGCGGTCCATTTCTCTCTGCCATCTAGTTCCGTAAAGTTGAATTGGCGAATTGGATGGCGGTAGTACTTCGGCTCTCGCTCATCGACCTCAGCGTAATGGCCATAGATCCTGACATTCTCATTATCATGCGAGATCGAGAAAGCGAGAATCTCCCGATGAAGCTCTTTTTCGCGTTTGACAGCTCTAAATAGCTCTACTACAGCTCGTACCGCGATAGTCATACTGTGGGCGTTCTGACGATCTGCGATATCGAATCCTGTATCGCCGCACTTAACCTCACATGTTAGGAAGGGGAAGTACATATAGTAAGTAGCCATAAAGTAAGACTGATCCATGAGATCGCCAACAACAGGCTGCATTCGGTCTAGCTGCGTCTGCGTGAACGCCTCCCGTCTGAAGCCAACTGCGTAGTCTGGCTGTGGTCGCGTCTTCGTTATCGAGATGCAGTTATTCCACCCTTCGTTAACGCTCTCAATAAGTCCTGTAAGCTGCCCTCCGCTCCGCATAGCTAAAACTTGCGCCGAAGGAACAACCAGACGGGTAATATCTTGAATGATCTTCGCCTCGTTCCTGCCTCGCACCATCCGACAAGTTTCTTCAAATAGGTCGTCGTCAAATAAAGACTCTTTAGGGAGAGTTTGGTCATTGGCCAGAAGATCCTGGCACAGCGTCCTGCTCGATTCCGCAACGCCAAGTTTTGACCTTTCCATAAAAATTCCCTTTGTGGCTAGCACAGTTTCATAGCGGACGGTTTTGTAATCGGCGCTCTTCTCCTCTCTTGGCTTCTGATCGCTTGGGGTAATTGAACTGGCAGTCACCAGGTCCACCCATGAGGTTTTCCTGCTTCTCGAGCTCGTTGACCTCTTCCGCGCAAGTATGTTGGCCATAGGGTCGCACGCCTCCAAGTACTTATCAGGCCACCGATGGTGCTGGCTCCAATATGCTATCGGGTCGAGGTCTTCCTCGCCCGTGCTGATCTCCTCAGCGCACTCGATCTTCGCCCTTTTACGAAGCTGTTCCACCTGATCATCCTGTGGGCTCGCGTCGGTTCGTGTCCGCTTCCGGGGGAGGGCTTCTTGAGGAGTGTGCGCAGTCTGGCTGCTGTTCTGGCGGATCTCTTCTAAGCGTGCACTCTTGCGCGATCGCTCGCTACCAACGGACCAGCGTCTCTTCACACCTGCGCTTCGTGGCCCCGTGTTTGGCCGATTGCAGGCCATGGCCGGCGGACGGTGCTGTAGTAGACAAGATGTAGCTGTGTGGAGCTGACGATCGTGTGGAAGACCAAGCTGGCTGACGTGCGTGTTTGGGGTCCGGAGCGGAATCCGGGTTGTTGGAAGCGATTATTGGCTGGTTGCGGCCCCACATTGTATGCTACCTGTACCTGATAGGACGATAGCCACTGAACCCTTCAGGGTTACATAGTTACGCGCCGTGAGTGAAAGAAGCAGCACAGAAAACTACTACTACTTTCTACCCAATCAAAGTCACATGAACAGCTCTTACATTGCAGGGGAATTTGCGTATAGGCGGAGGGAGGGACTAGTTCAATGCTATAAATGTCAGGAAATCGGTCATACGGCATACGCCTGTACCAAAACGTCTCTGCAGCTGGGCCTTGTGTCCCTATTTACGACCAACAGAGCATCCCACCGCTATCGACATTCAAGCTGTTCGTGTCTGGTATCCTACTATGCACAAATTCCCAGGCGTCATGATTAGTGCGTAAGGTACCCATGTTTGGAAATTTCGTGCTGAACGACATACGGACGACCTCTAGCCCAGAGGCAAGAGACTCTAGGAGTCATTCCATTTTGAGATGCATGATCACGACGTCTAGAACTATGGCAGCGCCAGGCCACACATCCTACTGTGGCGAAGACAGGTACACGCTTGGGCCATGAGCAGGTGAGGTCGAGCTGTTATGGCGATAGTTCTCTCGAGGTCTTCCGAAAGAACGTTGACGCGTTTTCATTGAACTTCATTGTCCGGATATGGCGATTCAGAGACAAAGGCAAAGGAACACTTGACATGATCGGCTAGACCTAGACTCTCAATAGCAATGTCATCGGGCGACGTGTGCGGAATTATACCTAGGACAGGCCCGTATTTCTCTCAACTTCGTCAGACGTGGTAGAAGGCAACATGGAGTCAACGGAAGAGCGGGAGGCCGTACTGCGGCGACGAACGAAGACACACAAGAGCCATGGCTTTTTCGAGCCTGTGGAGGAGAAATTCAGCCAGCATATCCGCTTTGCGGACCCTCTGGTCAACATAACAACGCCCCAGACGATTGAGCGTTTCGTGCCTGCAATAAGGGTCATTCTGCGCATCTTGATCTGGACAGTAGCCACGATTTCCATTCTCGGACCCGCACTTCTTCTCAGCAGTACCGCGATCCGTGGTGTTCAGCTGGCATGTCACGCTGGCGTGCTCCCACCGCTGTCGACATCGATTTGCAAGGAGCAAACACCTTCATTGTACGGCGTTTCTGATGGCACAACACCCTTGACGACCGTTCTGGAGGAGCTGGGCGCCCTGAATGAGATGTCTGCATCCCTCGAGTTCTTGGGTTTGCCTCTGCATACAATTGTCGCGAATTTGACAATGATACTCTCCGACTTGGAGAAATCCATGGATGTCCAGCAGTTCAAGGAGTCCGAGAACATCGGTTCGATAGCAGACAAAGCGCATAGGCTCGTGGAGTCGTTTAGCGCCCACGATAACGTGTTCCGTCAGCAGGTATCCATTTGGGAACCGTATGGTATCGCAGCCCTTGGCGAACAGCTCCAAAACCTCACTTCCGCCACGAATACGAGCGACAATCTGTTTCTGGCTGTGCGGGAAGGGGTATATCAGACCATACCTTTCCTCTCGAAGCGCAGTCTGAGTCACAGTCTCGTACTGCACTACCACAACTTGGTTACTGTCAATCACCTCGAAGAAGTCAAAGCGCTTGTTCTGGCATCTACAGAAACCAAGCTTGCTCTGCTCGACCTGCTGGGCCAGGTGGGAATTCTGGAGACGCAGCTCCAAGCAGTTGCGTCCACTCAAGCAGATGCTTTGATCATGATCCGTCTCGCAACCATATGGGCACACGGAGTGGTGCAGTTCGCCGAGGATCGCTACAAGAGCATGTACAGTAAATTGCACGCCTTATCCGCGCCTTTGGCTGCCGAAGTCGCGAGTTACGATTCTTGGTGGCTACCGAGACCTGCGCCTCTTCTCCTTCTTCCTGTGCCTCGACTTCGCGCTCTTGTCGAGACCGAGCAAAAGCAGATGGCCAAGTTGGTCGCCAAGGCAATGCAAGCGCAGAATGTTCTGGATGGGCTGTTTGAGAATTACCTGGAGGATGCGGAGGTGTCATTGAACATTCGCTATAGGCTTGAGGCGGCTGCGATTGAAGGGAGATTGCAGTGGTTGTGATCCTTGAGTGACGGAGAAGTTCGATCTATATATCAAGGACGTAGATATCTGATACGAGTTTTTGGCTATGCCGTTGCTGATAGCGGAGGGGGGCTCTTGTATGTAGTCTGAAACGGAATGGACTCCTTGAACCTACACGGGGGGTCTAAGCTGTCTGAATATACATACCTATCTGATGCTATGCCGCTCCGCTATACTTCTCGCAACCTTGGCAGCGAGACAGCGTTTTCCGTCACCGGGGGGAGATTGGAGTGCGGACGTTGTTGTATGGTTGCTGCTGTCGGACTCTATCATGATGTAGATTCGTATTAGTTCAGTACATGCAGTCAGGCGACTACAATGTCGCTGGAAGGCGGTCCTGACTCCGAGGGTATCTTCCGAGATATAGGAAGTAGTTGTCGGCGAGCATGAGAAGCGACATACCAGGCTTGCGGATATGTGTAAGTCGAGACTGTCACGCGACTGAAACACCTTTCGCTAAAGTAGCCAATCACGACCGGGTTTCAGCACCTCACTCCTTTGGGACTAGCGTGCCAAGTAGGAGTCACGAGAGCTCAGGCTAAACCTGAATAAGTTTGGGGCAAGGCATCAATCCGTCATTTTCGACTGCCACTTTCTGCTTGTGTGCTTGTTTTTGCAACGCCGTCGTGCTTTTCACGACTTCATTCTGTGTTCCTCGTCTCGCCACGAGCACTCGACAGGTGCACGCTCCAGATGGGGGACTCATACTACCCTTCGCGCCATCGCGACAGTGGTCGGGCGCACGACCGCTACTCACCACCTCGCCGCGAGTATGCCGACACCTATCGCACCGAGCGACACAACGAGGGCGCACACGGGGCAAACGGCCGTGACGATGGTTATCGCGACAATGGCAGCTTCAGGTTCCATGGCGCTGCCGGCAGAATGGACCAAGAGGTTCCGCGCGACGCACGAGCCGATACCTATCGTCCACCGCGCAGTGACTTCACATTTCAGGCCTCTGGCCCTGAAGCTCCGCGATTTCCACCGGCGCCAAATGGTCAGACGCACTCGCGCAATGGTCTCTCACGTGCAAAAGAGAAGAGGCCATATCCTAGCACTGCTCGAGGTGGCCGAGGTGGCAGAGGCAGCAGAGGCAATTTCCGTGGGCGATGGCAGCCCAGGCCTGCACACAATCGTGCGATTCTCGGATTTACTGACAACGGCGCAACGGAAGAAATGTTTGGCACGCACGAGCATGCCAAATTTGATGCAGCAATGGACTCCAGCGACGATGACAGCGTAGACGAAGATGACGAGGAAGATGACGAGCAGCCTCGGAAGCGCGTCAAGGCTGAGAAGGAGGTTGAAGAACAGGCTGCACGACCTCAGTGGTCAAATCCTGATCCGTACTCTGTCTTGCCCCCGACTGATGTGGTGACGACTGCGAAGAAGGACATCGTTCAAACGATTCGCAAGCGAAAGGCCGAGGCTGCTGCGACCGCTGCTACCGTCAATTCCATCGCTAAGAACGATGACTACATCTCTTTCAATTTTGATGATGACTCAAGCAAAGAAGCATCCGAGGAAGGTGAGATTGACTCCTCGGAAGGCGATGATGATGATTTCATCGGAGCCCCGCCGACACTATCAGCTGCGGAACTCCCTCCTCCTCCTCCTCCGCCTCCTCCGCCTCCGCAGCCCGAGGATGATGCCTACATTCCGCCTCCGCCGCCTGACGATCCCACTCCACCGTCTCCTAGAGATTTCGTTATGCCAAATGATGATGAACTCATGGAAACGTATGCCGGAGGCGCAGGGGGTAAGCGTAAACGTGGTCTCGAGCAGACAGTATCTTCATTAGCTGGCCGTATCGTGGATGAGTGGATATCGGACGGCTCCAACATGACTCCATGGGTGCCCCGCGATGTGGACTACTCTTCGAGTGTTGGACTCAGGTAAGTGCACGCGGTGTTACGACTTCTCGATGTAGTTGGCCGGACATCAGACCGCTTCGGCCCAAGCAGCGCGATCATAGAACTCGTTCTTCTGAGGATGCTGACACGTTTATAAGCAGATTGCACAAGGAGATAATCGACTTCTTTCACTACGTTGCTCCGCGACAGTACGAGCGAAATTGTCGCCTGGCCTTGATCGATCGGATCGAACGCGTTGTGCGTGCTTCTCATGGCGGTGGCGAAGTGAACGTTCGCTCGTTCGGGTCCTTCGCGTCAGACCTTTATCTACCAACTGCAGACATGGACCTGGTTGCCGTCTCGCGGACCTACATGGGTGGCGGTCAAGCCGTTTTCTGCAGAACCAATACCAAAATGCACAAGCTTGCCCAAATGATCAAGACTTGGGGCATCGTTGACCAAGATAGTAAAGTCGTTGTCATCACAAAGGCTAGGGTCCCGATCCTCAAATTTGTCGACGCTACCACCGGCATCAAAGTCGATGTCTCTTTTGAGAATGATTCTGGTCTCCGTGCAATCCCCACATTCCAAGAGTGGAAGCAGCGCTATCCTCAAATGCCCGTTTTGGTCGTCATCATCAAGCAGTTTTTGACCATGCGCGGGCTCAACGAAGTCTTTCTGGGAGGTATTGGTGGTTTCACCATCATCTGCTTGGTGACAAGCATGCTGCAGCATATGCCAGAAACGCAGCTGAGTGGCGACGATTTCAGCTACGGTGAGCTGTTGCAGAACTTTTTTGATTTGTATGGTAACCGCTTCAATGTTCGTGATACTGGTATCATGATGAAGCCCGCCAAACTGTTCAGAAAGGGCGTGGACCATGTGCAATGCAAGATCAACCCAGCTACGCTGACGATCGTGGATCCCAATCGTCCCGAAAACGACATCTCCGGAGGCTCTCGCGAGATCAAGAAGGTCTTTAAATGTTTCAGTGGGGCCCACGCTGCGATTCAGAAGCGGCTCAACGACATACGCACCGGGAAGAACAAGTCAGAGAGCATTCTGGGATGTATCCTCGGCGGCTGCTACACGTCCTTTGAGGCTCAACGGGCTTTGCTGCACGACCTAGATCGCCGTATGCACCCACAGTCAACCGCCTCACAAAACCATGACCAACTTCCTCTGCCACCACAATGCCCAGTGCCGCCGCAATACCAATCCGGCTATTACAACTATCCGCAGTACCCAGAGCTACCACAGGTCCCAGCTCCGCAAGGGCTTCCAAGCAAACCTGAGCCTCCACGGACCGCTCTACCCAGCAGTCTTCCGAGTCGTCCGTCACCTGGACTGAGATTGGGCGATCGACCAAGATCGCCGCCACAAGCTGGGTATGCATTTCCCCAGTACGGCCCGACTGCCGCCGGGGATCGGTCGGCACATCTCCCGTACTACGAGTCAGCCTTTCCGCCTGTTGTCGACCGCTCCTACTACCGGCGGTAGTCTAAAATTCACTGACAGGAAACTGACTTGTCGTATAGTAATCAAGGCAAGCAGCAGATCCCGAGCAGGAAGGCGAAAAAACGTGCCAAGCAGCAGTCGTCAGCGCCGCCAGCCGATCCACTTAATGCGCCTTTCGAACCCCCTCAGCCGAAGAAGGCTAACATGAGTAAGGCCGAAAAGAAAGCAAAAGCCGCAGCAAAAGCAGCGGGCAAGTGAGTGCTGACTTTGACACTTTTTGACGACACTGTCGAGTTGACGCACCTCCGGCAGCTCCGCGGCGGTTCCACAGATTGAGCCCCCGACCACGAACGGCCCAAACACCACAGAGACGATTTCCAAGAAGATGAACGGCCCAAAAACCACAGAGACGAATCCCAAGAAGATGAAGAAAAGCAAGAAGACGGAGATTACGGAGCAGTATCCTGCGAAGACCGATAAGGCCTCGCGCAAAGCGCTTAGGCAGCGCAAACTCGAGGCCAGAAAGGCAAGGAAGGCTGCAAATGCGGCGGGACCTAGTGGTACCTAATGGCCCCGGCAAGCATGGCGGAGTACACTACGGTAATGTGGCGATTTCATAGATTGCACTGCTCTGACGCAGATGATACCCTGTACACCTAGTTGACTGACGCAGGTTGACGGCGCTGACATGCGCGGATGAGAGGATACCGACCCTGCTTGGTGGCCCGTCGTTGGCGTCGTCGATCCTATACACTTATGCTTCTTATCACATCTCCCGTCTATTGTACTCACACACAGTTGTGTTTCCACCACATGAATGAACGACGGCGACCTCGCCAGATCCAATTGGTCAATGATTTTTCACAGCGATGCGAAAGCATTCACAAGGGAACACTCTTCGCCGAGTATAAAGGCACGAGCGGGGACACAGAGGGCTCCACCCATTGTTTGATCGCAAGATCTTTCATTGTTATCTGAAAATCGATGCTAGTGGACATGCTGCAGCAGTGTACGCATGGCCCACGACGTCGTTGTGCGGGCTCTCGCCTTGGCGCGATTTGCACCACGGCGACGGCATCAATCACTCGCTTTGCGGGACTTTTCTCATCGCGTGGCTGTTCCTTGCCAGACAGAAGTGGCGCGCGGAGAGGAAAAGGTAGAAGACGTTTATGGAAGCCCGTATCGTAGGTATCTCTTGAGCAACTGAAAAAGCCGGGCTGACTTGTGTTTGTCAAGACTGACAAGTGACAATTTACCTGCCCAGGGAAGGCACGATGGGAACTCCGGTAGAGGTACCTGGTATAGTCGCTAACCAATGGGGAATTGCCTCTCCCAGCACCAACACCTCACTTCTTGTGAGCATGGACGTCAATAAAATTCACTTGGATGGTACATACATAAAAAGAAAACTTTCTCAAACACTCCAGCGTCCTTTCATATCGCTTCCTTTGTCGCGCAAGCATTGGGTACCTAGTGAAGACCAGCAGTATAGGGGACGATTATAGATCAGGTACCTACAGGTACCTAGTAAGGTATGAAATGAACTCTGTGCTGTTTGTAGTAGTATTTTAGTAGTAAACAGTTATGGTGCTCGCATATTAATCGTAGTGTTCTCATTTTGTATTTGGCCGCATCATAGTGTGTTCAACTATATGGAAAAGGGCGGTTGTGATGGTGTTCGGGCGGGAATTGAAAAAAAAATCTCAGACCACGTTTCCTATTGCTGAAAAGCCACACACAGGCCTCCATATCATGCTGTTCATACAAGTCTCTATTCGTCTCTAATTCATTTACCCCCCCTTGCGCTATTGGCGGCGCAAAAGTCGCTTCCTTATTTTGCAGCATACTTGGTCTTTCCAAAGTCCCACGGCACATATCTGTTCTCTTTGGTTAGCATGTCCCAAGATTGCTTCGTCTATGCCGGATCTGCCAGTATCCTTTTGAACCCCATCAACTTCACTTCTCTCCACTCACCTGTACTTGATCATACTCTGGATTTGCTTCCTCATTGTCAAGATTACCAATACCAGCCAGTATATCACCAACACAGGCCAAAACACGGGCAGATTGAAGATCTCACTCCAACTGCATGCAAAGCTCAAAGCCACCGCTCTTGTCGCCGAGTGCCAGAATTTGAACTCGGGTAGTCTGCGCACGAATGGTTTGAACTCCTGATCGTTCTTCGTGGGCAGGGAAGATTGTCCGGCAGGTACGCCATCTTCCATATCTGTGTCGGCGTCGAGGGAGGGGTCGAATTTGGGGGTAATGAAGGCGAGGAAGAGGTTCAGAAGGTAGATACCGAGAGCGTAGGCGACTGTGACGAAGGGTCAATGGCGCGGAATGGATGTTATGCTTCCTGTGGATTGCACCATACCAATGTACCAGCCTTGTGCGAAGACTATCCGCATGGCGAAGAGCAAGAACACGATGCCCGTGGCTATCCATCGGTAGGCGATGTAGGGCGTAGACTTGTCGAGGTAGGACTGGTAGATCTGTGCAATATCGCGTCAGGCCTCATACGCCATCAATGGTGTTTGCGACAGGCGTGTCAGTGCTGTTGCCAATGCCATTGCCATACCTGCTGGAAGCGGGTTGTCTGCGCCGAGACGGCCGCAAAAGGCGTATCTGGTTCGGGCGCGTCCATGGTTGCGGCAGTCGGCTCCCGTCTCGATGGGGTGAATGGGCGTGGGAGGAGGAAGAGGTGGTGGTGGAGGCGGATGTGAAGTCAAGACGCGCGTGGGAATTGAAGAATTATTAGACTTCAGGCGCAAAGGAGTGAGTAGTGTCCACGCAGTCCGTACATGCATACCAACGGATGCGTGGCAGACCCCTGCTTGTGGCGAGTGGCATGTGTGGCGCATGCATTGGGAAAACTAGGCTGGCGGCGGCTTAAAAGCTGAGCTATGGACATCCGAGGTGTGAAGCTCTTGTCCTAGAAACATATTCACATAGCAACTGCTGGTTCAGTCTTCTGTGTCTACTACCTACATGTAATCCCTACCACCTCCGCCCTCTCCACCACCACCACAACGATGCTGGCATCCAAACTCAGGCCCAGTGCCACCCAATTCGGCCGCTTCATGCAGCCATTGCGCATACGAACCTATTCCAGCGCAACCGAAACAACATATGAACACATCAAAGTATCCACGCCTCGAGCAGGTGTCGGCCTGGGTAAGAATATAGTTATACCCGCCACCACGACTGAGCCAACATCGCTATACATCATATCTACATAGACTGATGCATAGAGTCTTCCAGTCGAACTCCACCGCCCCAAAGCCCTCAACGCCTTGTTCACCCCCCTCATCCTCGAACTCAACTCAGCCCTCAAGTCCTTCGACCACGACTCTACCATCGGCGCCATAGTCCTTACCGGCTCCCACAAAGCCTTTGCAGCAGGCGCCGACATTAAAGAAATGTCCACCAAAACCTTCTCCGACGCCTACGGAGACGACTTCATCGAGTCCTGGTCCGAACTGCCTGCCACGATCAAGAAACCCGTCATTTCTGCCGTGAATGGGCATGCGTTGGGAGGAGGCTGTGAGTTGGCAATGATGGCGGACATTCTGTACTGTTCGGAAAAGGCGAATTTTGGACAACCCGAGATCAAGTTGGGCGTGATACCAGGTGCGGGAGGGAGTCAGAGGTTGACGAGGGCGATTGGGAAATCGAGGGCGATGGAATTGATCTTGACAGGCAAGAGTTTCAGTGGGAGGGAAGCGTATGAGTGGGGTTTGGCTGCGAGGGTGTTTGCGACGCCCGAGGAGTGTGTCGAAGGGGCGCTGGCTACTGCGGAGATGATTGCGGGGTATAGTAAGATTGCTGTCAAGGCATGTAAGGAGGTTGTGAATAAGAGTCAAGATCTGGGGATTCGAGAGGGAGTGGAATATGAAAGGAGAGTATTCCACGGCTTATTTGGAAGTCAGGACCAGAAAATTGGGATGAAGGCTTTTGCCGAGAAGAAGAAAGCTGAATGGACGCATCGGTGATGTAAGTTCGTTCTGTAGAAAAGCAACCACGCCTTCTACTTGCGCATTACACCTCTGTCGGTCATGAGGAGAGAAAGCGAGAGAGAAAGCAACAGCGACCAGTCAGTCTCTTTCATTTCTTGAACGCCATGCCCAAATGATCCGCAGAACCCGTCTGTTGATTCGCAACTTGATCTTGCGCTGTAATCCCCGTTCCTCCCACTGTGTCCCCTGATCGTTTATCTCCTACCGAGTTGATGATCAGCACAAAGCTCGATCACAATAAGATAAAGAATCACATTAATGATAGAAAACCCATAAAAACATACCCGAACTCATCCGATTCAAACTCTCACTCGCAGCCTGTGCCTGTTTCTGTCCTCTCGACTGCGTTTCCTCTGTAATCATATCTCCCACTGCGGTGGAGGATGCTTGTAAACCGCCTATCAAAAGGGAAGAAGGAAAAAAGTGTCAGCGATTTTGTTTTGTCTTTCGAGGTGCTTCTTCTTCTTCTTCTTCTTGACGATAATAGGTAAAGTCGAAATAGACAAAAAGACAAGGGGAAGAGGAAAGAGGGAAGAAGGAAAGAAGAGACTTGCCTCCTTGTCCTTTTAATGCTTTGGCCATGTTTCCTGGCACGTCGCCGAAGTAGGAGGACATTTTTTATTTCTTTTTTATTTCTTTATTTTCCTCTGTATAATGATGATGTCTTGTGTTTTGAGACTGTAATTGAAAGAAACAAGCTGGGGTTTCTCAAACGTGATGCTGTTGTTGTTGAGATAAGGTATAATGTGATCACTTGCAAGTTGTTGCTTGTATATTCACTTGGGAATAAGGTTGTACAAGGATAACGTCATAGCTTTGCTTGCCTACAGGTACCTAGGCAGACTGGGAAATGTTGGAAGTGACTTGCAGGGATGTGTAGAGCAGATGACAACCTGGAATGTTCGTGTTTCGCGGGGAGAAAGTAGCACATGAATATTGTATCACTACCACCTGCAATTTGAAGGAATGTCGACTACCTATGTAATAATCAATATACTCCTACCGAGGGTGCATTTATGTCTATACGCTTTCCCCAGATACTGTTTTCTTTCCTCGGACCACACACATCAACGGCTGAAGAATCACTTTTTTTTTCTTACGCCTTGTAGTAGCCAGTCCTGATCGCAGTTCGTACGACATCGACCTTTTGGCAAGTAGGGTTCTGCGGCTGCGCGTTGCCAACCACGAAATTCAGCGAGGAATAGTTGTAACCAGAATAGTTGTACTGGCAAATGTACCAGTGGTACAGCCCGAACTCTTTGTTCACCTTGGCGGGTACGACAGTGTCGTCGTAGTACGCAGGAATGAACATCTTGTGCTTCCTGTCAAATCCGACTTGAGCGGCCTCAGATGGAGCCACAGGAGCGAATTGTGCGTGGGCGATGTTGGTTGCGGCGTTGAAGACTAGGTGCATGGGCTGGGATGCTGTGGCAGAATCACACTGGATCAGTACATCATCCATATGGTGTATAAGCTGCCTAGCGACTGAAGCACTGCTTACCGACGAAGTTGCCGCCCTTGAGCTCAAAGGTCAGGATTCCCGACTTGCCCAGATTCTTGTTGCTAACAACCTGGCCATCGGTCGTGTTCCACTGGTATGCTTGGCCTGGTGCATTGCTGACACAGAGGCCTTCAATCGCGGCGCCTTCGTGGCAAGGGGTGAGACCTTTGCCATTGAGGGTGCTGTTGGAGCTCCTGAGTATCAAGTTGAAAGGCTTAGACTGGGTGTAGTTCTGGGCAGCGACAGTGCTGGTGAGGAAGAGCAGAGCTGCTACGCCTGCAATGATGGATTTCATATTGGCAGATGCTGATTTGCGCTTGAACGGAGTCGGTATCCTCTATTATGCTTCTTCGCTGTGGTGAGGTGTCGCTGTTCTGATTTCTCGTATGTGTATCTGGAAAGGCATCTTTTATATTTGTTTCGAGCTTTCAGCCTTCCAGCTAGGTGATAGTTGGCCTCATGGTGGATGCAACGTTTGGCATGTTACATGAAGGTATGGCGTCCCAGTATGCAACCACGTGCCACCTCACCAGATCCTGTTGCGTGTAAGTTCATGCGCGACTATACACACTCGGGCCGCTTCGTTTCTGCTTCGGGCACGACTTGGACGACTTAGGCCTGGCGCTTTCCACAGTGGTATGGAGTCCTTGCGTTACAGCTGTCGACATAGGTGTCACCGGCAACAACGTCTGAGGCAGAGTGAGTACATACATACAGAGTGGCACCAAAACAGCACTCGTGCACTCGGCTTTCACTGTCACCGAGCACTGAGGACTGCCACAAAATGAAACGTGACAGTAGGAACAAGCCGTTATGTGCGGAGTCGCCGCCAAGCTGAACAAGCTACGGTCGACCTTCAGCCACCCGTTCATAGTGAATGCTCAAAGAGGATGCTGAGCGACAAAATGTGGCGCACCATGCCGTCCTGATTGTTGGCCTTGTCGATAGTGGTAATGTATAGGTAAATTTAGGTACTGGGGTGTTTGACAGAAAGAGAGAGAGCAAATGTGCGAGGGGTGAGACAAAAGACGGTCTGGCAGAGCTGAAGTTTCTGATATCGTAAGCGCACAACTGATGGCACTGAGCATTGAGTATTGAACAGCTACACGTACCGTTGCCACCTTCAAATCGATTGGAGCTGTCAAACATGGCACAAGACCATCTTTTCACCGGCCGTGTGCTCGGCCAGGCGCGAAGTCCAATGCCTGGTCGCCACGATATAGCTGCCATCACGCAGGAAGATGGATCTGGATGTCCACTGTATCTGTCCCTCATGAAATATGGCAGATGCTTGATACTACGCAGTCAGAAGTGAGCCAGATTGACCGAGGGTCACGCATGCAGTCTCGAGGATGTGCCCAGTGAGATGTTTCGTACTGGGGCTAACAAGACGAAACAGCGCAGATGTGGAATGCATGGCCTTCGGGTGGCAGCCGCGAATCTTTCTTCTCGTGTTGCTGTCGAATCTGCATGGGCTCTTCACTTCTTCCAACCAGATGCGAGGTGATTGGCGCATGCCTAGCTCCCAAGCTCGTTTCCCAGGCTAACCATTCCACTTAGTGATTCAAATTCCCGAGTGCGTAAAGACTCCACCTATGCCTTTGTACTCTTGGCTAGTGGCAGCGCTCCTTCTCGTGCCTAACAACTTTTCTTGCCCCCGGCACCGCTTGAACGCCAGAACACCTCGCTGAATCCCATAACATGCACATTTCCGAACTCGCTCCACCAAATTTGGGTGGAATTATCGGTTGCCCGGTTTGATGATGTCGCGTTCTGCTGGATTGTACCTATTCCCCTCATCAGCTACGCGCCCCATCGCGCACTTGTGTACACTGAGTGCATACCTCAGCAACTTCTCAATGAGATCCACATGGGTGAGCATCATTCGTCGGCAGCAGTATCTGTTGAGTCCCAGCTGGTCCATCGCGTCGCCATCCGATACAGTGTCTCCGTTATCTTGTACGGTGCCGATGAGCTCGACATAGCGCTCATAGAGATCCGCAATGACCTGGCGCGAAGGACTGGTCAGTATGCGGCCGGTTCGGAGATGGGTCTGGGGTGGTGTGTACCTTGCCGCAGGAGAAGCAACGGATGGGGATGATCATATTTGCAGTCGTGGGGGTGTTATCGAGGCGCAGTTGGTGGTATCTAGAAAGTTGTCGTCGTTGTCGCAAAGATGCAGGTGGGAAGTAGAAGACAAGACTGTTCGAACTAATGGTGGTTCTAATCCCGGTCCAAAAATGGAGCACGGACCTCGAACTTTTTCACAGTCGACAAAACTAAATAGAATCTGTGCATCTACCTGGATTTCTCTCGTATTGCCCGTGGTGGTCTACACAATTACATCTGTTACTGGACAACGCATTCCCACGATGGCTAAAGAGACGGAAAGAAAGAGGAAGTTGGAGCAGGAGCACGTCAATACTGCAACGCCGAAAAGGCAGAAGCAGGCGCAGAAGAGTGCGGCAAAGGCTAATGGCACCGTGAATGGAAGCACACCGAAGCACAATGCAGTGCCCGCTACAACAGACACTCCCGATACGCCAAAGCTGAGCAAACAGGAGAAGAAGGCTGCACGAGTCAGCGAAGTCAAGACTGAGCTCCAACAGCCCGTGAATCCGGATGAAAGCCAGGCCACTCCAGCGAAGAATGCTAAAAAGCGAAAGTCTTTGCAGAACGGCGCATCTACCCACGTCAAGCAGGTGACAGGCAGTAATGAACCTGAAAAGGGGGCAGATGTGCCAATGGTCGACGCGGATGCAGGCCAAGCCGAGTCCAAGAAGAACAAGAAGAAAAAGAAGCAGCGAGTGGCTCAGGAACTCGTGGAGTGTGAACAAGTAGACACGGCAGCAGGAGCGGAGCAGAGGAGCGAGTCGGGCACAATCCTGTCGACCAATGATAAGCGACAACGAGCTTTGGAGAAGAAGGCGAGGCGAATTGCGCATCGCGAAGTCAAGGCCGGTTTGAAAGGCGATGAGGAACTGACCAAACCAAATGAGTACGGCTGGTGGCTGTCCCAACCGAGTGCAGGACGATACATAGCACAGGATCCGATTTTTGTGGTAGATGAGAATGGTGACGAGTGCTTGATTGCTGCTACTGTACGCGAAGTCCAGCTGCTACACTTGAACAGCTCTCTACTTGCAAGGACGCATGCTGTTCCTGATGGACGATCGATATTGGCATACACTCTCAGCGCCGAATACCCAGACCACGTTGAGGTATCATACGACAATGGTGCAAAGGTACAATGGAACTGGACAAATGGCTCCATCAGCAATGGCAACTATCCCGGACAAGAGACCACGATCGCCATGACGAGCGCTTCACTCGCCGATGGACGATCTGAGGTCTACTACATCTCTCGGAGTCAAGGCACCTACACAATTGTCGGGAAAAGGAAGGCCCTGTACTCGACCTACCGCCGTCTGCAAAGCATACAGGTACTTGGTGACGGCGTCTACATCATCTGTTTAGGCGCGACTGCAATGGTTCTTGGCAAGAAAAAGGATAATAGTAACACTCCAGAGTACATCTGGATCGAGATGCCAACACCAATGCCCTTTCAATGTCTGGATGCGAGACTCGTCCTGCCAGCATCGGCAAAGAACACCACCGAGCAGAAAGTAGGGGCGTCTGACCTCGCGCTTGCCATCGGCAACGTAGAAGGACAGATTCACTTCTACTCCAGCTTGAACTCTCTATTTGGGAAGGCGTCGCAGGCCACTCTGCCAGATCCACGTATTTTGCACTGGCATCGTGAGGCTGTGTCGACAGTCAAGTTTTCGAGAGATGGAAACTATCTCATTTCAGGTGGCCGGGAGTCAGTGCTCGTCATCTGGCAGCTCGAGACTGGCCAAAAGCAGTTCTTGCCACATCTTACAGCGGAGGTTGAGCGGCTTGTGGTGTCGCCGAACGGCACCCAGTACGCTCTTCAATTGGGAGACAACTCCGTCATGGTATTGAGCACGGCCGAATTGAAGCCAATCGCAAACTTTGCCGGCTTGCAACTTCCAGTGCGGAGCGAGCAACTTTGGCTTGAAGAGATGACAGTACCCGCCACAACAGCCGTACTACATCCAACCAATCCAAGTCAGCTGCTGTTGACTGTTCCGGCTACGCAACCCAAATATGCACGAGATGTCACGACACGTCCTTTCTTGCAGACTTTTGATCTACAGAACGCTCGCCACATCAGTCGCCAAGCACTGTCCCGGAATAATGTTACTGACTTCAATCGCGGACCTGAAAACACGCCTATCATTCCACCAGATGTCAATCTGCTCGCATTGAGTGCAGACGGGAAGTGGTTGGCGACCGTGGATGAGTGGTTCCCTCCTGCAACAGATCTGGAGCACGCTGTTGCACGTACGGCTGGACTGGACAACATTGACCTCACAAACATCCACGAACAGCAGTTAAAGCGTCGCGAGGTATACCTCAAGTTTTGGAAATGGGATGAACAGCAGCAGATTTGGACTCTGAGCACCAGAGCTGATGCTCCCCATGCCAGAACCTCGAATTCGGACCTTGGGAACGGCGCAGGTCGTGTATTGGAGCTGAAGTCAGATCCAGCTTCAAATGGCTTCGCAACAGTGGGCGAGGATGGCGAGGTGAAGATTTGGAAGTCGAAACCCAAATTCCGGAATGGTGTGCCACTTCAGGATGCGCGTGGTGATGACTTGATGGAATGGACATGTCGGAGGACGGTTGGGCTTCCCATCGCCACTGACTTGGAGGAGCGCGCCGACTCTCCCATGGATGGAGTGTTTGAGCATAACAAAACGCAGTCCGCAATTGATGCTTGTCTCGCATACTCACCAGATGGTTCGATGCTGGCATGCACCACCATTTCTGCGGACGAGACCACACAGCCCCTCGTTCACTTCATCAACCCCAACACTGGAGCCGTTACTGCTACCAAAACAGGCATCATCCCTGCCGATGAGGACGTGCAGTCTTTTGGTTTCCTCGACCGTTACTTCATCGTGCTCAGTCTCGGGCACATTCGTGTTTGGAATCTGGTCGACGACAATGTGCACTACACAATCAAGCTCCGTGGTTCAGTAGATGAGCAGGAGAACGCTAAGCTGGCCATCAACAGCACGGACGACACTTTCGCGGTCGCTTCGACTCTCCCAATGTCAATCGAGAACGACGTGATTGTACCTCAGATTATAGTCTACACGCCGAAGCTCCCAGAACCACTTTTCGAAGCCGAGCTGGAATCAAGCCCTGTAGCTCTACTGGCCGGACAAGACACCAAAGGCTACACAATTCTGTTCGAAGACGGCACGATCCGTACTCTATCTTCTACGGCACAGGTGTCCTCTCGTGACAGACGCTTATCCATCGCAACCTCACCTTCCGATAAGATGGAAGAAGAATCTCAGAACATGGCGGAGAATGCCGAAACAGCCTCCTCGTCTGCTCTCGCTAAGCTCAGCACGAAAGCGGAAGATCAAGCAATGGCAGAGAGCTTGGCGCCACTCATGTTGACAGAAGGCGAGGATGACAGGCCTGTGATTCGGCCTGAACATCTCACAAGTATATTCGACGTGGGAGGATCAGGTGGTAGTGTGGCTTTACCGCCTGTTAGGGATATGTTTCGTGATCTTGTGGGACTATTAGCTAAGAAGCCACGAGCGAGGGTGGCGATGGATGTGTAGAGAGTGTACAGGTAAAAAAAAAGTATAATGCTGCCAGAATGCAATGAACTGCTTATTGATGAGATATTCGCCATTCTTTTTCGAAGCCGACGCAGTCTCTTGGGCTTCACCGCCAGATTCTCACATACCTCTAGGTAGATGTATGGAACGGTTCCCATTATCGTGATTATCAAGAAAGAGCTGACATGTATCCTGCTGGGAAGTGCCCCAAAGCCTCTCTCTCTCTCTCTTTGGGTCGAACCACTAAACCACCACATCATCTGATCACGCGCAGCAAGCAAAAATGGATTTCTAGTGGAGACTACCACACACTCAGCGGCTCTCGGATATAGAAAGTTCAAAATATACCTCTGGAGACTCAGAGATGATGAAATGTAGGTGGCGCTGATATCACCTTATCCTATTGCATGTACTCGGAATACCGAGATGATGTTGATCTTGTTCGAGCTTTGTTTCCCTTTTGCGTACCTACAGTATCTATCTAGGTATACTATACATGTAGATAGATACTTAAAGACTCACCTATTGATTTTTTTTAAAGAGAAAACAGGATTCAAGGTGTATGTGAGCAGTTAAATACAGCAGTTTTTTTTTTTTCTTTTTTTGGGGAGTAATATGTGGTTGTGATGAATACCTTACTAGTGCAAGTCCAAATAAAAACAACACCGAGCATAAACCCTTTTTTTCCTTTTTTTTGGAAACCAAGAGAAGAGAGAATCCTCAAACCAAACCAAACCAAACCAAACCAAGCCAAGCCAAGTCAAAGTACTCTGATCAAACCATACCTTACCAAGCAAACTCCTCAGCCCTCACCACGCACTGTCATCAAGAGTTCAAGAATGACGTGACAAACCCCTCCCACCACCCCTCCCACCACCAAATAAACCTCATCTCTCACCTCTCACCACTCATCCGGATGAAGAGTAACATGGCAAAAAGGCCAGCTATTCACATACAGGAACGTATACTCCGTTCCCGGCAAAGTACACAACGGCCGATCGGGCTGGTGCAAAAACTGCTTCAAAGCCGCAACGCGCACGCGGCAGGGCTCCAAACGATCCGTGCACCATTTCATCAGGTCCTTGCGATTGACGATCAGCCACTCGGCTGGCGGGTCGAGGGGTACGACTTTGCAGGTCGAAGGGTCGTTGAGATCTCCACACCATCGGTTGTGCTTGCGAATATTGTGTAAGAGGTGCTCGAGTTTTTCGATGTAGATGTAGGTTTGGTAGAGCTCTATCTTCCAGGCGCCTTCTAAGTCGGTTTCGACGGTGGCTGGGGTGGGGACCGGGGTGGCGAGGCCGAGGGTGAAGGGGAAGGCGGGTGGGACAGTCTTGGTCACGAGGGTGGTGGCTATTGCGTCCTCGTTGGCGATGTCGGTGGCGATGTCGGTGGCGATGTCGGTGGCGATGTCAGTGGCGATGTCAGTGGCTTGTCTGTTCATGATCTCGCGGGCAGAGGAGGCAAAGTCGGAGGTGGCGGTAGAGCTATTGACCGACGGGAGGGACGCGAAATGGAGATTGATACGGGCCAGCGCCGATTCCAGTTCTTTCAAATCCACTGGACCTGGAGGAAAAGCGAGGAGGTCCCTAGAGGCCGAAGCACCCAGGACGCGGAGACCCAGCGCGAAGAGGACGGTGAAGCGTGCGAAGACCATGTCGAGTGGGTCGTTGCTGTTGCTGTTGTTGCTGTTGTTGTTGTTGTCGGGTGTGATGATGTTGGATGTGATGATCACGAAGAAGTCTGATGCGTGTGGAACTAATTGTGAGAAGAAGAAGTGTTGGAGGAGGGAGATGTAATCTTTAACTACAGATACGTGCCAGTGAAGACGCATATGGGACGGTTTGTCCTCCACTACACGAGAGCGTCAGTCTGGAATTACATAGGTACCATGGGAGGGAAAAGCTTTGGTTATGACCAATATTTGAGTTTCTCCTGCAATACATGGTAGCATCAACCTGTACATTTTTTCTTCGATGCGCAACCACGAAGAGCATATCAACGCGGCCAAGCACGTATTTACATGTCTCTGTACGCAGAAAAGTATACTGCCAGGAGAATCGAAGACGATTCGCTGGGCAGAAGCGAAGGTGCATATGACTGCGTTGGTAGACGTATTCCGAGTCATAGGGATTGTTGTAGGCAGAAGAGGGCCTCGTAGGGCGTCCGATATACCAATATGTTATACCCCCGGGTTGCTTCTAGCTCAGTGGGGCAACCACTGCGTCCAGCTTGTGCTTGAGATTGCACAGCCGTCGTGGTAGTCGCAGAAAGGCTATATGCACTGGTCGTCAGCGCAATTGAGGACCAATTACCTCTGTAGCTGCTGATTGGATTTCTTGGTCTTCGCTCTCGAGCCGTAGGCAGTCCCAGACAAAATCTGCACTCTCGCTTTGAATGGGTCTTGGGTCACCATTAGGAGGTAATTGTGATTGCGAGCTGTCGCAGCAGAGTCGTCCGTCAGGTCCTTGAGACTCGATGATGACTGAGGTATTCACTGTCCCAGGCCCGACCAGGCTAAGCCATAAGGCGCTTCCACAGTATCCTCAACAGATGGATACCTGGAGTCCCTTTATTTGCCACATATGAGGTTCTGGAGGTCTTGCGATTGACGTGATAGCACACAGTCACACGATGAGCCCGAAGTGGAAGCGAGAGGTGAAGTCGGTCAGGGCGGTAAGGATGGTTTAGTCTAGTCACGACAATGACGCCGATCGGTTCCACGGTAGATCCGCCTGGACGCGGAAACCCTGGTGACCCTGTCGACTAAGGGACGAGGGATTATTATACCTCCCAGGCTCCCACCTACGAGGAGGTATAAGGTAAGCTCTAAGCTCGATCACGCTCAACGGCCCCTCCTCCCATCAGTGTACCTAGGTAGGATATATCAATATTTTGTGCCGTGGCAGTGCCTCTGCACAGACTTCCGTGAACTACCGTGCAACCATCTGTGAGCCATTCATTCATTGATTGCATGACCACAGCGGCCTCGTCGTCGCCGTCAAAGCCCATCGCCTGACACATAGCAATGTTTGGCTGACCACAACAACTACAACAACGACGTGCTGCCTGCAGATCCTGTATTGGTCCCGACAAGGCTGACGGCGACGTTTGGTTCTCTGTAGCACCACGCGCATAAGCACCAGAGAGGGAGAGAGAGAAAGAGAGATACCTTGAAGAGAGTGAGGAAGCGATTTGGAAAAGAGAGAGGGAGCGAGAGAGTGTGTGATAGCAAGAGAGACAGAGAGAGGGAGAGCGAAAGAGAGATAGGCAGCTGTAGGGGGCCAAAGTGAGGATAGAAAGAACATGGCGCCTGATATTGCGACCCTACCGTCATCACCACGCAAAGTGCCTCCTTCGCAAACTACAACGACCAGTACACCCTCCTCACGACGGACAAGTCAACTCATGGGACCACCACAACAACCCGCGTCGGCCACAGCAGCACAAAGTGCTCGGAGTCCCGTCATGTCCAGCAACGAGAACTTGCCCATGCGCCATCCACGCCCGTTGACAGCCGCCGAGCTTTATCTGCAGTGCGAGAAGGAGCAAGAAGCGGTGGTATGTCTGCATACCAGCCAGCCAGTGGTGGACAACGACCCTTGATTGATGGAGTACTGATCTGCTGTGTCTACCTAGGTCAATCGCTTGACCCGCGAGCTCACTGCCCTCCGAGCACAGTCTGCTTCCGTCGCCAGCAATGCCTCGTCTGCCTCTGCCGTCTCTGCCTCGCTGCTGCCCATCGATATTGGCGACCCAAACCCCAACCACCAGATGACTGGTGCTACCCATCCTACTCCTTCTCGTCGCCACCGCTCCTCCTCGTCGGTCAGCACGCGCAGCATACCGACGCCCTCGACTGCCGGTAGCAACTGGACCAACGCCTCCACCCAGGCACAAGCGGGCGGCACAGCTCCTCTGGGCAGCGTATCGCAAGCGCATGCCGACCGAGCGGCTGCTGCCACTGGTGATCGCGCTACGCTGAGCAGGAACCCGTCGATGAGCGCTTCAGGCACATCGACCCCAGCAAGACAGTCACTTGACGTGTCCCGCACCCCAGGCACACACTACACTCTTCCGCACCGGCCTGCGATATCCAGAGATCCTTCGCAAACGTCCCACATCTCCATGCAAGCCCATAGTGGCACTCCCGCCCCCGCCGGATCATCTCCTGGAAGTGCCAATGCAGCAATGCAGACCCACGCAGAGCCTCCAGCATATCGTACCGAAATGGAGATTGTCAAAGCGGAGAATGAAGCTCTGCGTCAACGTGTCCGCGCACTCGAGCGTGCACTCGGCTCCCGCCGACGTGACTCCTCGCAGTCCGATGCGACCCGTCCAGATGCTCCCACGGCCAGTGCTCGCGACAATCTGGCTCGCTATGAGGCGCCAGCCGAGCGACCCTCTCGAGATTTCAACCGCATTCCGTCCTTCACCTCGCCTCCTGCTTCAACTGGTCTCGGGGTCTGGGATGGCGGTGTGGGTGGAGTAGCGGGCCCAAGAGAGAGAAGCGAGTCCCAGAGCACCACAGCTTCTAGCAGAAGAGCCATTGGTGTGACTGATGATGAGGTCAGAGTGGGCGAGAGCGCAAGCTCGGTCAACAGGAATGCTTAGAGAGCGCCGATCCCGATGTGGAAGCATATCATGTGGTGAGCACGATGGAGTGCACACTCATCGCTTCTGAGTGGCATGCGAAGGATCACGCTGCTAGTATTTCGTCACTAGCGAGTGTGAATGGACAAATTGTGTGATTTTCAGCGAGGAGTCATGGCGACGACAGATTGGAATATGCCTCCACGAGGCTTTGAGTGTATCTAGATATAAAACCCCACCGTATTTGTTGTATCGTACTGGATACATATGCCATTGGCTCCATTTTGGTTCATATCTGCGTGACGCCCGCTTTTCAGCTCTCATCTACCAGTAGCTCGTGGTGCAAATGCTGTGCGGCACCGAGTAAAAGATCATCATCGCCAAACTGCCCAATGAGCTGCATTCCAGCTGTCCTCACATCCGTGCTTTCCAACTTCAATCCTTCATCGCCAGGCACCGAAACGGGTATGCTGATCGCGGGCAGGCCTGCCAGTGAGGCGGGTACAGTAAAAACATCATTCATGTAACTCTCCAGCGGAGATTGCCTCGCAAGCTCCTCAATAGTCGGCGGAAGGGTCGGAGCGGTGGGCACCAGTAACAGATCGACTTTCGTCTCCTCTTCTCCCGACCCGGCCCTAGGATCTAACAAGGGGTTCTGCTGCGCAAAGACTCGGTCAAAGTCACGCTGCACAAGTCTTCTGATCCGTTGTGCTTGAATAAAGTAGTTGTCCATAGCATCCGCACTCAGTGTGTACGATCCTAGCAGAATCCGTCTCTTGACTTCTTCTCCGAAGCCTTCTCCTCTGGTCTTTGCGTATAATGGGAGCGGTGGGTCGGCGTGAGGGCTTGCGTCGGGAGGAGTCGTTCGATGTCCGTATCGTATGCCGTCGTATTTGGCAAGGTTGGAAGACGCTTCGGCTGGTGCGAGAACGTAGTACGCCGAGAGCGCGGATTGTGTACCGGGTAGAGAGACGGGGTGTAGAGTATGGCCCGCTCTGCGGAGAGTATGAAGCGTCGCGAGGTAGGTCGCTCGGACGATAGGGCTGAGTTCTTCAATGTTGTACTCGAGTGGGATGCCAATCCTAAGACGCGACAGGGGGGTGTGTGCTCGAGTCGATCGCATGCGGTGTCTCAGCGATTCGGAAAGTGAAGTCTGGTCTTGAGGATCGTGCTGGTCAAGGATCGAGAAGATCCGACGGAGCTCACTTGTGCGTCGCCCCAGGATGCCAACAGTATCCAGAGAATTCGCATATTGGATGACACCCCACCGCGAAATCCGGCCGTAAGACGGCTTGAACCCAAGCACACCCATATATGCTGCTGGTAATCGGACTGACCCTCCAGTATCCGTCCCCAGTGCCACGTCACATTCGCCTTTGGCCACAGAGACGGCACTGCCACCACTGCTGCCTCCCGGCGACAAAGCCACGCCCCCACGGCTGTATATGCTCTTGACTGCTCCTTCATGAGCATATTGCGAGTGAGATCCCATGCCGAACTCGTCCATACTATGGCAGGTTCGAAGGTTATGTGAGGCGACCCCGGCATCCTTCAGGAGCTTTGTGACCGTGGCATCGAACGGTGAGTTGTAGCCTTGCAGCATCCGGGAAGATGCCACCGAACTACTGGACTGGTCCGCCACATCTTTGCACACGATGTTGGCTTTGACACCAACTTTCAGAGAGTCGATAGGCGCTGGTAGACAGTCAGTTCGTGTCAGCTAATGCTGTTGGATCGATAGCGTACCCGCGTCGGCCTGAGCTAGCTCATCTGTACACCGATGAGAAGACAGCGCCTGCTGCTGCTGGCGAGTCACATAATGGCTGGATTGTCTTTTGTGGAGACTGAGAGCACATTGTCGAAGACGCTGTTGGCGTATCATCACATCTTCAAGTGCATAATTCCAATGGAGGACGGGAAGCACAAAAAGCTCGAGCTGTGGTACTAGTCTCCGGCCAATCAACTCGGTCTCGGTTTTCTTGCTGACAGACGTCTTCACTTCCAGACTTCACCTTCGTGATCCATCACCACCGCCACCACTTTCATCAACCTGCACGCGAAAGTCATCGTCCAACAGCCTTCCGTCGGAGCTTCATACCGAACCTATGCCGCCTGGAACCTGGTCGACACCTGTCACCATGAAAGTCTGGGATGCACACGCAATTGCGCGTCGGCTACCTTGTGGTGGCCGTTGGCATGCGATGGATTCTTTACACACTATTCGGCTCCTATGAAAGTACACCTCCCTGCCCTACCAGATGTCAAACTACTGCGCTATTGGAGTCCTGGGATTCTCTGCTCGCAGAAGGATGCAACCACACCCGACTCTCCATTTTGACCCTTCGAAACGTGCAACACGGTGCGGAACGCCGATACTACCACATCGCACCTCAAAAGTCATGGTCATCCGACTCTTCAACTTTGAACTTCTTGGATTCGATGCTGCGATAATCAGTGTCGCTGAGCCTGGACGGCGCGGCGATTGTGGAACCCTGCGACCGGGGCCCTCCCTCCGACCCATCACTGTCCGCAGGTGGACTTAACTTTGCCTTGAAGTTTTCGCTGTCGGAAGAAAGATGATTCTCTGGAAGGTGGCTTTGGCATGCTTCATAGCTCTTGTACAGATGACGATGGTCATCCAAGGAATCAGTGGGAGAGATGCCGCTTGCTGGGGTCCGGAAAACATACTCGATCGGCAATCCGACTGCCTCTGATTCATCTGCCGATTGATCGACAGCCGAGTTGTGGAAAGGGACGCGCGCCGTAGCGATGGCTGTCGTCGATGGCACGATGGTCTGGCTAAGATCTGCTGTCTCACCTTGCTCAAGTTGCTCCCGAAGCTCGTTGGCCTGGAAGGTCGGTGTGACGCAAGGATTTCTCGATGAACTCCCGCATTCACCGACTTGCGTTGTGGACGTCGTTGGCACAGGTTCCCCGTCGCCGCTGGCATTTGAACATTCCATCACCTCGAAGTCTCCTAGGGCGTTCTGGAACACATAGTGATCAGTGATGACTTGCTCCAGATCAGATTCGATGCTGTCCGAGCTTGGTTCATGATCGACGACCCCACGTAGCGACACTCGTTCGGTGGGTAATGGACGACGGGCCGAACTAGTGAATGCAGTCTCAAAGTTCGGGAATGAGGACTCCCGATCATATCTGCTATCCAGACCTGCGCACTGAAGCATCCGGTGATGGCGCATTGACGACGTCATTGCAGATTCTTCGTGCTCCGGAACACTCGCATTACTCATCTCGCTTAGCGCGCTGTATCGCATGTTGCGATCGGAACGGTTCACGTCGAAGCTCAGACGGTCTCCCATGCACGGCGAATGCCCAAGGATCATCGTTTTTGGACTGATTTGGGGAGTTGTTCTGTGCTCGGCTATTGGAACCGAATCAAGACTGGCATTATCGGATCCTGTGTGGTAATGTGGTGGCTGCGAGCTCCAAGTTGCGGGTAGGCGTCCTCCCTGCAGCCAATCGTGCACCGAGAACTGCCAGGTGTCGCTGCTTACTGATTGCTTTTGAGCCGGACTTGGGATCCGCGGCATTGCAACACCAGTGCTTGGCCGAAGGATCTCTGGAGTGCTTGGCTGATCATTGTCTGGAGTGCGTGTCGGACGCTCGGGTGTGTTTTCTTGCTGTTCGATGGTGCTTGGGGGCGGATCTCCGGGCAGGCATTCCTCCAGTCCAAGAAAGTGCTCCGCGTGGAACTGGTCATACTGCGCTGAACTGAGGCGGCTGGAGAATTTGGTGCTTGCGTCATCTGTGCCTCGTTCCTGCAGCTTCAAGCTGTCCGAAACGGGTTCCAATCTCGCAGCAGAAGACATAGGCCTTGGGTGAGATGCATGGTCCACGACAGCTCTTGCTGCTATCAAACGCGCCTGCATCTGCCCAAGCAGCACGTCCTCAACAGGCGTCAAACCTAACTGAGGTACAGCATCATCCAAAGATGTGGTGTCGTTGCGGCTCACGTCTTGGTTATGTAACCTGACAGCATTTGCGGGTGTTCGCAATTCGATCTTTGGACAATCTGGCAACAACACTTCACGTTCTGGCGAATCAGCAGCCCAATCATCATCATCGTTTCCGGTTGCAAAAGGGTCTTCACTCTTCCAGGCACCTGTCGCAGGATCGCTGTGGTCTACACCCGGCTTCGACAAAGCCGTAAACTGATGCGTGAGCGGTTCCATATCGCGCGGCCAGTGCTGCATCGTCGATTCGGAGTAGTCTCTGACCTTGCGACTGGACGCTGAAGAGAGGCGCATACCACGTCGGAGAGAGTCCTTGATGTGCTTGCCAGCCAAGGCATTCATCGAGACTATCTTTTTCAAGCTCTTGTTCTCTCGCTTCTCTGGCGAACCTAGAGCCTCGACGCTTCTCTCGAACAAAGGTGGCTCATCAAAGATGCCGTCGAAATCCAGCTCAACACCAGTGCCGGACACTGGCGTGGTAGAACTCTCGGAAGGACTCGAGTCGCTGTCGTCATGTGGCATGGTGAGCAACTCATCAGCTGGCAGCTCATCTTGACCGAGGCGATCAGCGGACGAGATAGTATCAGGTGGGCACTCTGTTGATACACGAGAGTAATCAGTTTGTAGCCGCATGCCGGCGTCGTCCACCGAATCAGTAAGTGCCACTAGCTCTTTCTTTTGCTCAAAACCTGGGACATCAGAAAGAAAGCTCGTGGACATGTTCGAAATGTCGCCCAGATCTAGCTTCAGAGTGGGAGCAGGGACGTTGACCGGCGATGATGGTAGCGGCGTTGCCATCGCTTGGCTTGTGGGCGAGCCGTATTCACTGGGAGGCGAGGCTGGATTGGACAGAGATTGCGCTCGTCGACTCAGGCTGCGCAAGCTTCCAATCATACTTCTTGCGACAGTGGCTGTCTTGCCGTGTTGCTTCGTCGGACTCCTCTCGCCGGATCGAGCTGCGACACTTGGACCTTTAGCCTGCGATGTGAACACCTCTGGTCCACTGTCTCCGCGCATCTCGCTGTAAGGGCTACCAGTAATGTCTGACAGTACACCGCGCTTAGCCTTGCCCTTCCCACTCGGATGCATATGCTGGCGTAGACTGTTCATGGCGCTTTTTGGCGTGAATGACTTCTGGCGTTCTGTGCGTTTGGGACGCAACGGAGTGAGCGAGTCGTGGTTACTGCTCACCGATGGCTGTCCGGGACTATTGTCCGAGTCTTCGGCGGTCGCCTCGCAGTCTACGTTCCTGGAGCGTTGTCAGCCACTGGCACACAATCTTCACAGTCAGGTCTGCGGGCAGACGTACTCTGGATCCTCTCCATTGCTGCTCTTCCGATCACCACTTCTCAAGTGACCAACAACTCCCTTCGCGCCTCGCTGAAAGGCCTCGCGAGCGCTGTCAAACCACGACTTCTTCTTATTCAATGTCATAGTGTGATCGAGGTTGCTTTGCAAGGCCTCTCGTGCACCTGATGGTGCCACGCTGTCGACGCGCTCGGTCGGAGGCATTTTGGCGTCTCCCAGCTGAGGCACGTCGCGTCTTACGAAGCTGATGTGCTGTTGAAGTAAACTGTCCGGGGCTGCTAAGCTGACACGACTGGGCGCCAGATGTTGTTGCAAGCTGTTGATGTGTCAAATTGTGTACCAGGACTGGAGGAAGTCAAGGTGTGTCTTGGTGCGCAGGAGACGCCGCATGGCAATCGCATGTCATCACGGCAACAGTCCCGTCTGCTTGCACTTGGATCGAACGGTAGCTGCCAAACGATCGAAGCGGGGAAGTCGCAGGTCGACAGGCACGGCGACTACATGTATCACGACAAGGCCAGTGACTCCCGACCCGTTCTCTGGTTCATATTCTGCCAAAGAATGCGTCTGCTACGAGTCACCACACACGCATTGCTAGGCCTGCTGCCATATTCAACGAATATTCGTGCCTTGACGGGGTGGCTCAGCTCTGCTGGGATAAGTATCCCTCCTGGCTTGTGTGCGGAACTTTTGGGATTATGCTCGCAAGCGCGAATCACCTACATCCCACTGTCGCAGTCACATCTATACTGAGGAATGGTGTTGCGCACAGATCTTGCAGCATGCCCTATTGCCATCGTGCACCATTGCAGAGCTCAATAGAGCCTAGGGGGTATTCTTTGTCCTTCCGCACCCTGCGTGGCAGAAGTTCGCAAGATCCTTCCGAGCGCTTCCTGGACCATTGGTGTCCATCCTCAACCTGTCGCTGAGACTGAGATTGGTACATATATCAATCTCAGATACACGAGACTACTTGTAGTTAGCCATGGGCTCATTGGCGCCGACACGGCCGTCGAAAGAGCTGGGTGCGCTTAGTCTGGCGGCCGTACCACCGTGGATATTAAACCATTACTTATTACCAGGCCGATACGTCACTGACAACCAAGAGCTTCATTTCACGGACATGCATATCATGGTACGCGAGGCTGACATTGAGAGATTTCGTCACTTATCATTAGAGACCCAATATGTAACGCACAGTGGAAGAGCATACGGAGTCCATGAATGGAACTCGGAAAGCAGAGGAAAGGGACCCGCAAGTGGAAATCGAACTCGAGAACCCCGCGGGTACCATGAGCAATGTACCCAGAAGAGTCAACGTGGTCATGGGAAGGATAGAGAGACAAGGTTGTGTAGATGGTCAGCGCAATAAGCAGCATCACAGGTTGAGCTTATGCTCTCGATACTCAGCCTCCTAGACGATTCCCTGGCTGCTACGAAGCACTCTCGGATACAGAAAGCACGAATCTGCTGTACTTGACCGAGATACAGCCTGTGCTCTACTTACAGCACACGGCGCATTCAGGCGGGAACGACCTGAATGTACGGCTCTCGAGCTGTTGTATACAGTTGCCATTGCCACTGGGGCAGATCTACCCAGTCCTGCACGCAGTATAACGCTCAATGCAGACGGGGTTTTTCCTCCTAGACAATCGTCGCGAGGCAATGTAGCCACGTAGACTGGATGAAGTAGGTCGGGCGATGCAACGGTCCCTATTTGCATCTTCAGCCCCATGTCCTCATGGCCCAGGAATGTCTCAGGTTGCACAATCAGCCGGAGACCATGCCGACTGTACGGCCTGTTAGACATTACGTTGGTGAGCAGATGTGACATGCCAGCGCAATGGTACATGTACTCAGCTAGCCCGGCCTCGCAACCTGCAGCGGATGACCATGACCTGACGCATAACTACCTGGCGGGCTATCGAATTGGCCTGGAACGCTCCTCGAGCGGTCTCCAGCGCGCCTGTATAGCGATCCGCCTCACACTCAATCTAATATATGCCCGCTCCGTGCTTGACCCTGAGATCACGTGTCAAAAAGCAGCTAGCGCCTCGGCTTGCTCCACAACGGCATCCCGTCGCCAACGATCAGCATAAGAGGTACACAAGCCATCTTCTGCCTGCCTCCCTTCATTACTGCCCTTGGACTGTTGCATCGCCGCGCAAGGCTCAATATTCATTGACAAAAGTCCCTACAGGTACCTTAGCGCATATCTGATCTACCCTTCAACGGATCACGGCGGCAATCGCGATCATGGCCAATCCACAAGCGCCGTCTTTGGATCAGTTGCTCCAAGAAAGTAAGCAGCCATGCGCGAAGACACACTCGAGTCTGCACTACTGACTGCGTTGCAGGCCGAAGGAAGAAGAAGGCAGAGCAGCTCGCGCAAGAGATCTTCGGTAAGAAGAACAGGTCGCAAACACCGCAAGGTCCGCGAGGAAAGCCTGCTCCTGGGGCCAGTCTCGCAAGCAGAGTCGGCGTCGCGAAGGTAAGCCATCACTACTCTTGGATGTGGACACGGTCGTGCATCAGCGCTCACTCATAGCAGCGTCCTGCTTCGCTCCCTCGCGTCAGCTCCGCTCCAGCGCCACGAAATGCACGCCCACCCCCGCAAGTCAGTCGCCCAGCGCACAACGGCCCTCACCGAGCTCGCTCCACCCATTACGAACAGCGACCGCAGCAGCAACCACATCTCCCCTCAGAGTTTGTGCCCAACGTTAAGAGCAATGAGAGCAATGGATATGCAAACTACGAAGCACCAGGAGTTGCCACAAACGGGAGTGCCAACATAAGCTTCAGAGGTGCGGCGGCCACACAGCACGTGGTCATTGCCCAGAACTTCGCCCCGGGCACCACTGCCGCGGACATTGAAAGTGTCATGGTTGATGTCGGCGGTGCAGTCACTGAGTGCAAGCTGCTCGAAGAAGAGCCGACTGTAATTGCAGAGATGACATTTGTGGACAAGAGTGGAGCTGAGGCAGTGATCAACACTTTCAATGGCAAGAAGGTAAGTACACTGGGCGTTTCCGCATGAAGAAATAGTCTAACAGATTGCTAGGCGGATGGACGCACCCTCAATGTCTTCCTGAAAGCTGGCGGAGGAGCGAAATTGCCTTTCGTGGTCGATGTCGAACCCACAGTCGATGAACCCATGGAGATGGATGAGAACGCCCAGGCACGCGAAGCCGAGGATCGTCGCAGAGAGGAGCGTCGTGGCCCTGGGCCGGCCGAGCGTGCTCCACCAAGGGCCGCTCCACCAAGAGATGATTACCCGACAGGGCCTCGAGGACATGATCGTGGTTATCAAAATGATTACTACAACCGAGGACCACGTCGCGCTGAGCCTGCGTATCAAGATGGACGCTATGGTTTTGGAGGGGGCGGCGGCGGCGGCAGACATCACGGTGGTGGTGGCTACCGTCATGATGGTCGGCTCGGCGGCTATGGTGGTCGAGGCGGACAAACATACCGGCCATTGTAGGACATACACTGGCCATTGTAGGACACACTGGCCCTTGTAGGACACACACTGGCCATTGTGGGACATATCTTGACGACGCAATCGTCGGTCATCAACAGGAGATGTTTGAAGCTTGCAGTTTCAACATTCAGAATGACATTGTACGAGTAGCTAAGGTAGCTAGAGATGAACGCAGCATCGCGCTTATCCAGGGGGTCGAATGATGGTGGTCGACCTCTCATCTGCCACGCAGTGGCCTGGAAGAATGCGCTTTGCTCAGACTCGAAAACATCCATCTGACACCGCTTCATGTTTTACCTACCGCCCGCTGTACTGGGATGATAGAAAGGTGAGTCAGCAAATGCCGTTGCGTGAAGTAACGAGCATACGTCTCCCAGAGGCCCCATGGAGATCTCTGCACTCTCTCGGCGTCATGAACGATGATTGCTGCCGCATGTTTGTCCATTATCTGGAGCGGGCAGACGGGAGTAGGAGGTAAAGACAAGTGAGACAAGCAGATTTTCGAACTTCGGTGTCAGATCTCCGATGCCCGATCTGATTCTGCCCCGCGCGAGACTAAGAATAGAGTTGACTAGGCGGGTCCCCGTCGCGTTGCCCTGGACTACAGACCATCGCGCAAAAACAATGACGATAGAACTGTTGGAGGACGCGCAGACACAGTATTGGGACACAACGTTGCTGCTGCAAACGCATCATCTTCGCTACAACCACGGCCAAGCATTCATACTGCCTACCTACCTACCTTACTCCAGCATCGATACCGCACTACATCTCTCTCGCTGCAGCATTCAAACACATCATCTGCCATGCCTGGCAGGGCTGGCTCAGACGGGCCCACCGTCTCCATGTCGTGTAGGTGACAAACATGGTGGTGAAGAACAGCGCCAAACGACAATCACTGACATGACACTGTATAGTCGCGAACAATTTCTGGGGCAAAGATGACGCTGGCGTCGACCCTCTCTTGCAGCGTATGCATAATGCCAAGGTCACGAGCGACGAACTCAAGGCATTCTACACAGCGCGTGCTTCGATCGAAGACGAATACGCGAAGAAGCTCCTCAGCCTGGCGCGGAAGCCTCTTGGATCTGTCGAGACAGGGACCCTTCGAATGTCGCTGGACGTCGTGCGGGGCGAGGTGGAGTCCATGGGGAAAGCACATCAGCATATCGCTCAACAGATGCGTGGGGAGTTGGAAGAGCCGCTCATTGTATTCACAGGTGGTATCAAGGAGCGAAGGAAGATCATACAGACTGGCATTGAAAAGCTGCTCAAGACCAAGAACCAACAGACCGCCGTCGTGAATAAGACGCGAGACCGCTTCGAGCAAGACTGCCTCAAGATCAAGGGTTACCTGGCTCAAGGCCATATGGTCATGGGGCAGGAAGAGCGCAAGAACAAAGCCAAGCTGGAGAAGACGCAGATTCAAATGTCGGCAAACAGCACCGAATACGAACAAGCGGTGAAGATCCTGGAGGAGACAACTGGCAGATGGAACCGCGAGTGGAAGGCAGCCTGCGATAAGTTTCAAGACCTGGAGGAAGAACGACTGGACTATTTCAAGAGCAGTCTGTGGTCTTTTGCCAACATTTCCAGTACTGTGTGTGTCAGCGACGACCAGTCTTGCGAGAAGGTCAGGCTGTCACTCGAAGACTGCGAAGTTGAGAAGGATATCGGTGGCTTTATCAAGGACTTCGGCACAGGGCAAGAGATTCCAGATCCACCAAAGTACATCAATTTCTGCCGGGGAGACCTGGACGATGTCATTTCCAACCATGAGTCCGAGGACGAGAACTACTCAGTCGCCCAGTTTGCGCGGACGATGAACCCGACCTTCAGGACATCTTCACCCCAGCCGAGCACATTCGAATCACATCATGACCCGGACTCCAGCCTCCGCGAAGAGATGGGCATTCCGAAAGCCCGAACCACGTCTGTCCAGCTAGAGGACACATTCTCTGCAAAGGCTCGCAGCTCCCATGGAAGTGCTGCAGCGCCTCCCCCACTGGTACCAAGCAATGTCTCCTCAGTAGCTTCCAATCCTTATGAGAGCATTCCCCAGATTCCGCACAACCCGTATCCAGCAGATGGCATGACGCAGTTCTGTCGACCAGGTATGGGTCCTCCATCGGAGCGCAGCTCAATTCCATCTCCCATCAGACCTGGCAGCCGCGAGAGCCAAGGTGGCCACAGTGACTATTCTGCTCCAACTTCATTCTCTAGCATGGAACCGACCAGTGGTGCAGCGTCCCCGACAAAGGGGTACGGCTACAATGGATCTAATCTATCCGGAGTGTCGAGTATGTCTGGCGGTCCACCGGAAGAACGGTCTGTACAGAAAAAGAAGAGTGGCTTCTTCAACAGTCCTTTCAAGCGACGAGCAAGTACCAAGCGCAAAGATGAACCTCAGCCAGCCGCGCCGGCGCCTGCACCAACCGGACGGAACACATGGACTCCAGCGACAATGCGCAAGGCCGAGAGTGCCGGGAGCAGTCCAGTCAAGCCGTTCGCAGCGCAAAACAGGTCAAGCACTTGGGGCAACAAGCAGCCTTCTGTCAGTCCAGATCCCGATGTTGATCCTCGTGCCGACTATCAACTGGGTATTGGAAACAATGTCTTCGACGTTGCTCACCCTACCAAGAAGCCACCCGTCAGAAGTAAGACCGAGAGTGAACTTGATCCTATCGCACAGGCCCTTGCAGATTTGAAAGGGGTCACAAAGCAAGCTTCAACACGACAGTCTGCCGACCGCCACTATGGCATGTCTACTCCAGCTCCAGGCACAGATGCTGCAGAACGAGGCGTTCCTGCTCCTTTCGCAGGAAATGGCAATAGAGGCACGCCACCCCCAGGCTATACGCCAGCAAGCAGTTTAGGAGCCCCACCACCAGCGCATACTAAACGAGAGATGCAAAAGACTGCCGAGCAGTGGGGCACTCAGAAGCGTAATATGTTCAGTGCTGGTGCGTCTCGCCCTGGCAGCAGCATGGGCCAGACAGCACGCGCTCCGTCCCCTGGACCACCACGAGCCGCAAGCCCTCGACCATTCCATAGTGGTGATCAGCGCACACAGCCACAATACCGCGCTGCATCACCGAACCCGTACGTGGCACCTCGAGCAGCGTCTCCCAACCCATATGCAGGTGCTCCTCCATCAGCTGCAAGGCCTCGAGCACAATCCAACAGTCCTGTGAAGCCGCAGTACTCTGGACAATTTCAGGGAGGGGCCTCACCAGTATATCCCGTTGCTCGTGCTGCTTCGCCAAACCCAGCCTACAACAGACCAGCGACAAGTGCAGGAGGCTCGGCTGGTCGACCGTCCAGTAGTCGCGGCTCCGATCATGCTGGTGGCGCCATGGTCCTTGCTCCCGTTAGCCAGGACCCATACGGGTCGCAGCGTGGCGGGCGTCCGGTCAGCCATTACTACCCAGAGAACAGCGGCAACCAAGTCTCTTCTCATGTCAGGAGTCAGAGCCAAGGAACACAAAGACAATACACAAAGGACGGACGTCCGATTCTGCATTACTGTAAGTCAATAAAGCCCCCTGTAGATATGTGCATCGACTAACCCTCACACAGCTCGCGCCATGTACATGTATCAAGCTGCGATCCCAGAGGAGCTGTCATTCAGCAAGGGCGACATTCTGGCCGTAACCCGCCACCAAGACGACGGTTGGTGGGAAGCGGAAGTCAATGGACGACTGGGACTGGTGCCGAGCAACTATCTTAAGAATTGTTAGGGACTGATGATGAGATCGAGAACCCTGGGAAGTAAGCGCAAGGCGAGATGGGAGGCCCTCTGCAAGGATAATGCACATGAGATTGGAATGCCACGACATCAGTTTGAAAGGGTTTGTTATGGAGCTGGTGTGCCGGGGGACTAACTGCAAGCAAGCAAGCGTACATGACATTTTTTTCTTCGTTGCCTCTTCTTTGTGTTGCTTTCACATAGCTTGTATTGAAGGGTTCGTTCGTTGTATAAATTTATTCTCCTTTATATTTTCTTTCCGAGCATCACGACTATGGAAAATTCATGTCAGCGTATTTTGATGTACGTACGTACGCATATAATGGGGGTATTATTGGAGCTATGTACCTGGGTACTGTAGGTAGGCTACGTTATGGCTTGAATGTAGGTAGTCGTGCCGCGAATCCGCCGCCACTTGACGCCAGCTGAATGCATGCCCGCTGAATAAAGAGAAGAAGAAGATGCGTGGTAGGTAGGTAGGTAGTCATACAATCGTTGAAACTCGTAAAATCATTCTGTCTGTGACTTGAGGAGACATTCTCCCCTTGAACCTCTCGCACCTGGCTGAGATGGATGACATGCATTGTGCAGCAAGAAAAATCACTTCTTCTCCTGTAATTCAGACTCCGTTCTGGGTAATGGAACCTGCGCGGGTTCGGGCTGATGCAGCGTCTTCTCCAGCTCGGCCTGAGTCGTTGCATCATCCTCGTTATCGGAAGCGGAGACCTCAATGTCTCCATCTTCTTCCTCTTCTTCGATAATCTGGCTGCTGGCGGCAGAAGACTCGTTTGCCAGACGGACTTCTTTGCCGCGTTTATGACAATACCAGAAGACAAACATCAGGACTGCGAAAATTGCTGTTAGTACATGGTCATGAGAGTGAGAGGATATTTTCTGTTGCTTACTGAATACAGCCAGAGAGAGGACGACGTTCGTTGCGGAAGCGAGGAAGGGGAACCGGGTGGTTAAGAATGTCACGGTATTCCGCAACATGGTTGCCACGACGCCTTCTTTACTCATCAGCTTCTTCAAACCTGGTATCGTACGCTTTTTCTTCTTCTTGTTATTGTTCTCAACATTGCTCGAGCTGGATGTCGACGAGCCCTCGGCTGCCATCTTGGCTTCCATGTCAGCACCAGGCTTCGCACTCGCTGCAGCCATAATTTCTGGTGCAAGCGTGGTGCCAATCTTGGCCGGTAGGCTCTTCACAAGCGTTTGCACGAACGGAGGCATGGTCTTGAATTGCTTTTCAAGAGTCGGTCCCGCCTCGCGCATGAGCTTGTCCATGTCATCATAGGCCGTCGGAACTCCGTTGATTGTATCCTTGAGCACTTGCGCAAAGCGCCCATAGAACTTTTGTGTCTCTTGGTTGAAGGCGAACACGCGGTTGTTGATGGCTGACATGTTGAGGTTGTCCAGCAGGACAGAGACCTCCCTTTCTTCTTTTTCTCTCGTCTTCTCCTCGTTGATAGTACCATCTTCGTTGTAGACTGGTTGGGGCGTTGCATCCTTGTCCTTTGACCACGTCCAGGACTCGGGCCAGGAAGGAAGAGAATTGGAGAGAACGAGGTTCGAGGCATACTCGCCCCATGTTCGTTCTTGGCCTCCGGAAGCGTCTCCTGTGGTATCCTTCTGCGATGCAATGGTCCCTTCTTCACTTGTACCCTCTTTCTTCGTAGGCTGGAGTTTGGCTGGCAGATACGAGGTCCATGTCTTCTTCTCAGGCGTGCTAGCTGCATCCTTGTCGCCATCCAGCTTTACGGCTGAGTTCCAGCCTCGCGTCGTCGCTTCTGCCTCCTCCTGACTGGGCAGCTCAAAGCTCTTCCTCGCTTCCTTTTTGACTGGCGCATCCACCGACTTTGGCTGTGTCTCTGGCACGACAATATTGCCTTCTGCTGCTTTCGCCTCTGCTGGCGTGGCGTCCTTTACTTCTCCTTCATCGCTGATCTTGGCGACGTCAGCGGGTCGAGGTGGTAGATCGGGCTTTGGGCCTTCGTCCTGTGACAGGTGCCGCTCCAAGAACTTTTCGTCCTCATCCTTCAGTACCGGTTGTGTTGGGTTCGTTTTCTCGAGTTCTTCCTGGTTCTTCTTTGCTCTCGCGAACGACGGCAGCGTGAAGTAGGACGACATGCCGTGGATACAACAACGCCTTGGAGGTTGTACAGCAATTCGGGGGCGGCGGGGAGTGAGTTGGTAGGTTGTGTGGAGAGACTGTCAGAGGGAGAGAGAGGGTGAGAGAGAGAGGGGGGAAAGACTACTGAAGGAATGCATCTCTATATGGCACCGCCACTTTCTTGCTTGCGCCCGCAAAAATCAGCTCGACTGAGCTCTGCCATGTCGCGGTGGCACATGAAAGAAACGCTACGTCACTGGCGCTGTGAAGTTGGTGTGAGGGATGCGTGGAACAAGTTGCAAGGATTCCAGTTCGGGACTACCTCCTACCTCCTACCTCCTAACTCCTAGGGGGCTAGGGGGGGGGGGGGGCTAGGGGGTCGCGGGCATCGGGGGAGGGCTTCGGTCAAATATTGTTACGTCCCGTCTTGGCTCTCACTTCACGCGTCCCCTTTGAGAATGAATGCTTTC